CCCCCTCCAGCCCCCCTCCAGCCCCCCTCCAGCCCCTCCCCTCCCCCCTCCACTTTCCACTGGGCTAATCCCCCTTTCCCTTGCGCCACCCCCCCCCACTCCCCCACCCCCAGCTACTGGAGAGGACCAGCTCCGCTCTCTTCATCCGCCTGCCGCCCCTCCACCGGACAAATTCTTCTCCCTTGCCTCTCCCTTTTCTCCCTTGCCTCTCCCTTTTCTCCCTTGCCTCTCCCTTTTCTCCCTTGCCTCTCCCTTTTCTCCCTTGCCTTTCCCTTTTCCCCCTCGCGCCAACTTCCCTACCCTCTTCCCGCCTTTCCCCTTCCCCCCCTCCCCCAGCTACTACAGAGGACCACCTCCGCTCTCTTCATCCGCCTGCCGCCACTCCACTGGGCTAATCCCCCTTCCCCCCGCCCCACTCTCCACGGTGTCAATCCGCCTTCCCCCCTGCCCCCCTCACAGATACTGGAGAGGACCATCTCCGCTCTCTTCATCCGCATCCTGCCCCTCCATCCAGTCAAAGCAGCATCGATATGGGTATGGGCGATGGGTGCGGTGGGTGCTATTGGCTGTGCTCATCGTCATGGTATGGGCGGTGGGTGCGGTGGGTGCCTGTAGTGGCAGCGATGGGGGCGATGGGTGTGATGGCAGCGATGGGGTGATATGGTTGCTTTCTCTAGATGCCTAAACAAACACTTCTGCCTGCGTGTGCTGTTTCAAACGCTTGAGGGAGTTTGGCCCTCTCACAGTGCTGCTCATCCCACAAGCATCAACGCTCCACTCCACAGCACACCTTGTATGATACCTACCAGCAACTATCTTCCTTCTCTTCTCCAAATAGCGCATCACCCTGCTCACCAAAGCCATTCTCTCATCTCATCTCCTGTCGCCCATCGTCGCACTGTTATTGTCTCTCATGCCGCTTCCGTTGGTGCGGTTGCCATTGATTTATTTTGATTTTCATAACCATGCCCATCTCCTGTCTCATCTCCCATTCCCCGTCTCTCATCATCACGGCACAGAATTGTGTTTTCGTTGCGCTGCTGCCTCTGATGCATGCCTTCTCGCCTCTCACCTCCACTATCTGCACACTGTGAGCCTTAGGAGGACTCTTAAGGGGTGCTCAGGAGTGCTGAGGGGTGCTGTGCTCTAGGAGCGGTGTGGTGTGTGTGTGTGGCATGGTGTGAACCCACAGGGCAGAAGCAACCCTTTCCGCCCATCGCGCCTGTTGCCTCCGCTCTGTTTCACGTTGGTCTCAAGAACCCCTTCCGCACTTCATGAATGTTGCCTCTGCTTTCTGCACACTGTGCCTCGTGAGTGGGTGGTCATGCTTATGCGGAATGGGAGGGGTGGGGAGCGGTGATGAGGGATGTGGAGGGATGTCGAAAGGTGTTGATTCTTGAGGGGACTTGGAGCAGTTGGAGAGTTGAGCAGTGCGGTGCGGAGTGGTGTGTGCATCCATGATCCATCCGTGCCCCAGGTTTCTATTCACCTACCGCCCCTTGCCCACATCCCTCTGTCATTCCTTCCCACTCACCCCGCCCGCGTCCCCCTCTCCTTCAACCCTCCCACTCCCCCCTCCTTCCTCTCCATCCACGTCAGCAAGGCAGTCCTGAGCATGGTGCAGCATTCACAGTGCGCAATGCTGCACCGTGAAACGATATTCACCCATGGCAAAACGGCCCTCCTCCCCTCCCTCCCCTCCCACCCCTCCCACCCCTCTCTCCCCGCCCTCACCTCTTATTGCCAATCCCGAGCTTGTGTGCAGCATTTGTTGCAGGGTTTTTTTTTCCAATCGTACTCTTTCGGTTTTGTGTCAGTATTCGGTCAAACAAGAAACCGCACTGTATTCGGAAAGTATTCAGAAAAATGATTCGCATTCGTTTTAGTTTGTACAGGATTAACGTCAGCATGGCAGCCGTATGTGTGTGCTTAGCCTTTTTGGTGTACACGATTCGAATCGACGGCTCACAGCTGCTGCACACATCGCAGCTGTTTGGATGGACTATTAGCATCGCCATCCCCACCGCATCTATTGTTCGCGTCGACCTCTGCGAAACTGTAAATTCCTGGGCGCCCTGGGGTGTTGGGAGGTGTAAACGGTTGGTGAGTGGTTCTGAGGGGTGCCGAGGGTGTTCGGGTGGACCTTTCACACCAACATCCCCACTGCATTTATCGTTCAAATCTCACCTCACCGCACCTCACCTCACCTCACCTCATTTCACTTCACCTCACTTCATCTCACTTAACCGCTGCAAAATGGCGAGTTTCTCACCTTAACGGCCCAACTCCAGATCGGATTTCACCACCAGCCATCCACCCCACGTCTTCCCCCCTCCCTTCCCCTTCCATCCTTTCAGAGGAGCACCCCATATTTCTGCCAATTACCAGCCATGCTTTACCCCCTTCCCGCTCCCCTCCCCCCACCCCTGTTCTCCCTTTCAGGAGAGGCGGTTCAGCAGCAGTACGTGTTTCTGTTGAGTATCAACAGCAGACCGCAAGCAGCTTGATTAGGCCACCCATCCCTCTCGAGAGAAGTGCGGGTGGCTGAAGCATTAAGGAACTGCCCCCATCTCGCGCTCTCCTCCTTCCGCTTCCTCCCCGCCCATCGCCCCTCTCTTCGGCAATGGCTGTCGAGCAGCATGTGTTTCTGCCGAGTTTTTTTAGACGTCTCAAAATACTACTTCTATCACGTTGCTATTCTCTCCCCGCCCACCGCCCCTCTCTTCAGCAATGGGTGTGGAGCAGCAGGTACTACTGCCGAGTCACAGCAGCAGACGGCAAGAAGATTGACTTCGGCGGCAGTTTGTCCCGAGAGGAAAACGTGTGGCTGCAGCACGAGGTGTCCTCCTTCCTGCTCGGCCTTGCTGCGGGGTCCGTTTGATTATATCTCCTGCTTGCCTGCACGAGTCTTGCAACAAGGTTTGCAGGCGCTTTCTGTGCCTGCGCCTGCGCCTGCGCCTGCGCCTGTGCCTGTGCCTGTGCCTGTGCCTGCGCCTGCGCCTGCGCCTGCGCCTGCGCCTGCGCCTGCGCCTGCGCCTGCGCCTGCGCCTGCGCCTGCGCCTGCGCCTGCGCCTGCGCCTGTGCCTGTGCCTGTGCCTGTGCCTGTGCCTCTGCCTCTGCCTCTGCCTCTGCCTCTGCCTCTGCCTCTGCCTCTGCCTCTGCCTCTGCCTGTGCCTGTGCCTGTGCCTGTGCCTGTGCCTCTGCCTGTGCCTGTTTCCATCGCTGCCTGCACTCCTATTCTATTGGCTTGCCTGTCCATCTGCTCTTGTCAGCCTTGTGTCTGGTGTGTGCGAGTCTGTTTCCCAACTTCAATCAGTATCATGCCCCTCCTTTTGTGTCACACTGCAGGCAGCACCATCATGCCATAAACGGACTGACTGCAGCTACCGCATTCTGGCCGTACCATGCTCCTCCCTCCCTGCATCGACGCATCCACACCAACCGTGTACAAATGTGGCATGTGTAATCGTCCTACAGAAACCTGTTTGTATTGTAGTAATTTATAGACGAGAGCGTGCTGGCAAGGTTCAGACCTGGAATGATTTCATGTTATTGCAGAGCAGCTTCAAACTGTCATGCATGTTACCACAGCTGCCACCCACACAACAATTATCGAAACGACTTGCCTTGCATTGTATGACCAGTCCCGTCTTGCTGCAGTCGTTATCCCATGCTCTCAGGGAGAACCAGGGAGGGCCAGATCTGGAGAGGTTTCTAGAATTCTGGTGCAGACCAGAGAGATGTACCGGTACACAATCTGATTCAATTAAAGCCCGAGTCCCAAATTGCAAGCCGCGCGTGTCAAGTTTTTAAAGCCGGCAGCCCAAATTGCACAAGTTTTAAAAGGTTGACGCGAGGGGGTTTTTGTGGTGAGGGTTTTGGCGAAAGATTCCGATTTCGCTTTTTTCGTTTTTTTTCGCCAAACCCAGCCCGCCCTCGTATTTCGCCCTGGGGGTTGGTTCAGTTCCCAAAAGTCCCAAATTGCAGGCACGCTTTTCTTCAAACCTTGAAAACACTAGTTCGTCAAGTTTTAAAAGCTTGACCCGCGCGGCCCGCAATTTGGGACTCGGGCTTTAAAACTTGATGGTGAGCAGCTTGCAAACTTGAAAAAGGTGCAGCTGCAATTTGGGAAACGCGAGGTTTGGCTGTGTGTTGCGAAAAAAACGAGTTTCACGAAATTTATCCTCTCGCCACAGCCCAAAACCTGAACTACTTCCCCGTCAACCTTTTAAAACAAGAACAATTTGGGCCGCCGGCTTCAGGGTACACAAGTTACGTATTTATAAATGTGGTGTAACGCGTAACGCGTCATCCGAGTTCCAAATGTGAGTCGCACGCGGAACCGCATCCAGTTCGTCACCGGACCTTCGACCCACTCGTCTCGTCACATCCGCACCGAACACGGTGGCTGTGACGAATCTCCCACTCGACATTTGCCGAATCCTACTATTCTACCATTCCGTTTTTCCCGCTACGTCTTCACGCATTCCTTCCATAGCACTTTAGATTTCAGCCCCACCGTTCTAGCTGTAGGTTCCCCACCCGAGACCGACACTTCCCACTCTTCCTAGTGTTGCCCTACGACCTCTAGGTCAAACACGTAGGTCGGTAGATATTAGGGCAGCGGCGAACCACCCTAACGAGTTCCACTGTCAATATGGCGTACAGCGCGTGGCATTTCCCGAAAGTCAACGAGGTCAAGGTCGTTAGCCCTCTACTTTGCCCATGTCGCTTGTCTTCTCCCCTCACCAACGCCCCTTTCCCCCAACAACTTCCGTTTCTCCGCATTCCGCGACCCCATTTTCAATCATTTATTCACTTCCGTGTATTAGCTCCCTTCTTGAAGTCTTGTAGTTATTACTTTTTCCCAAATCTCCGTAGCCTCTCGATAATATCAGTTCACCCACAGCCCTGCTCCCTCCGTTTCGTCTCTCCCCCCGACCAAGCTACCCTCGCGTTCCCCATACCGCACCATCGCCGCGCATCCCCCCCGAGTAGCAATGGCGCAAGCCACAAGTCATACGAAGGCAGTTGTCGCACCCTTTTCCATAGCGCTCGTTCCTCCGCATGCCGGGGCGGTAGCGGCGGCGCCAAATGCGGCGCCATTCGCGGGAGATATCGAGACGCCGTTAATCGAGCCATCGGGCTCTCTGGGCGCTAGTGTGCCCGCTGGCACGCGCGTGGTGCGCCCATGGGGAAGGGGGTGGGGGGGGAAGAGGAGGTGGGGAGAGTATGGCCGCCGGCACGCGCATGGTGCTCCAAGGGGTGGGAAATAACGAAAACAGTGGGTGGGAAGGGTTGGGGGAAGGAGGGGAGGGGGTGGAGGGGGGGTGGGGGGAAATGGGAAAGTTAGGGGAATGAGGAGAGGGGGGGATGGTCAAGGGTCGTTTCAATCTCAGGTTTCTAGAATGACGTACTTGACTGGAATGCATGTCGCACATCAGGTTATTCTCCTTCAAAAGATAGAACCATCCTGTGTACTTGCCGGCCTAGGGCAGTAATAGTAGCCCCCGTCTTCCCCACGTTACCCCAGTTGCTGACGTGGATAAGCTCCCTTATGTTCATCCTTCTGCCTCCCCTTGTCATCCCCCTAGCCCCTCCCCTCCCCTCCCCTCCTCCTTTCCCCCCCCCCCCCTCCCCCTTCCCCTTCCCCTTACCCCTACCCCTCCCCCGTTTCCCCCCTTCCAGCTGCTTAAAAGGACCCACTCCGCTCTCGTCATCCGCCTGCCGCCCCTCCACGCGGCCAAAGCAGCGCTCGGCTTCACGGTACGGCCCATGGGTGTGATGGGGGCCATATGGGCCATGGGGGTGGTATTGCCCATGGGGGTGGTATTGCCCATGGGGGTGGTATGTATGGGCGATGGGGGCGGTGGTGCAATGCGGGTGGTATGGGCAATGGGGGAGGTGGCTGTGGTGGGTGCTCATCCCACAAGCTTCAAAGCACCACAGCCCACCTTGTAATACCATCCAACGCCTCTCTCTACTGTCTCCTCCCTCACTGCCGTGCACATCTTTTCGACGCCTCTCATGCCTCTCATGCCTCTCATGCCTCTCATGCCTCTCATGCCTCTCATGCCTCTCATGGCTCTGCCAGCAGTGCTTTTCTCCTCTCTGTCTCTCATTGCTGCGCAGGTTTTTGGTGTTCTCGCGCTGCTGGCGCCGCTGCGTCTGATGCTCACCAAGCAGCCATCCCTTTGGCACTTTTGGCAACTCGATCCTCTTGTCGCTGCTCTCTGCACACCGTGAGCCTTAGGAGGAGTGTCGAGGGATGCTGAGGGGTGCTGAGGGGTGCTGCGTTTTGGCAGCGGGTGTGGTGTATGGTGTGATGGTGTGAACCCCACAGAGAAGAAGCAACCGCCCATCGTACCTGTTGCCTCCCCTCTCTGCGCACGGTGAGCCCTGGGAAGGAAGCATGGAAAGGGGTGGTGAGGCAGGATTCCTTCCCACCCTTCGTGCCTGTTTTCCCTCTCGTCTCCCCATGCTGTGAACCCTGGGAGGTGTTGGGAGGGTTTGGGGAGGGGTTGGAGATGTGTCAAGTGGTGCTCAGCGGTGGAGAGCAGTGTGGTGTGTGCATCCATCTGTGCACCGCATGCTTCTAATTCGCTTGCCTCCTCTTGCGCCCATCCCCTTTTCCATTTCTTCCCACTGCCTTTCCTGAGGCGCCTCAACAATCGCATGCTTCTGATTCGCCTGCTTCCCCTTGCGCCCATCCCTCTTGTTGCACTTCAGATGCTTTTTTAGAATTCTCTACATCGCCTGTACCCATCCCCTTTTCCATTTCTTCTTTCGCCCTCACCCGCTCCACCCGTCCCGTCCCTCCCATCCCATCCCCACCTCCTCTTCTTCCATTTTCACTGACGTCAGACTGGCATCCCTATGTGCGCGCTCATCCTTTGTGGTGCTGCGAACAGGGAACAATGCGAACAGCCCCTTGCGAATACCTTTTTCCCCTCACCCGCTCCACCCTTCCGAACCCCTCTCTTCTACATCTCCCCCCCCCCTGGTTCCACCAACATCAGACTTTTAGTTTTCATCTGGTGTTCACCCTTTCTGCTGCTCCTATTGGCAATCAAGAGTTTGTGCTTAGCCTTTGAGACCCGCACGGTGCAAATCGACGGCTCACAGCTGCTGCACACGTTGCAGCTGTTTGATTGCACCATCAACACCACCATTTCCACCGCTTCCATTGTTCGCGTCGACCTCTGCAAAATGGTAAATGCCTGCGGGCTTTGTGAGGGGTGTTGATGGGTGTTTTGAAGGGTGTTGATGGGTGTTGTTTTCTATTGGACCATTGACACCGCCATTCACACCGCTTCCATCGTTCGAGTCTCCCTCTGCAAAATGGTAAATGCCTGTGCGCCCTGGGTTGTTTAGAGGTATTGAGGGTTGCTGAGTGGTTCTGACGGGTGCCGAGGGTGTCCATCGTTCGACTCTCTCACCTCACCTCACCTCACCTCACCTCGCCTCACCTCACCTCACCTCACCTCACCTCACCTCACCTCACCTCACCTCACCTCACTTCACCGTTGCAAAACGGCGAGTTTCTACATCTTCAGATCGGATGTCACCACCAGCCGTCCACCCCGCTTCTTCCCCCCTTCCTTCCCCTCCCATTCCTTCAGGGGAGCACCCTGTGCTTCCGCCGAATAGCGGATATTCTTTACCCCCTTCACCCTGCCCCCATCTCACGCTCTCCTCCCTGCCCTTCCCCCCCGCCCACCGCCCCTCTCTTCAGGAATGGCCATTCTGCAGCAGGTGTTTCTGTCGAGTAGCAGCAGCAGACGGCAAGAAGATTGACTTTGGCGGGAGTTTGTCCCGAGAGGAGAACGTGTGGCTGCAGCTCGAGGTGCCCTCCTTCCTGCTCAGCCTTGCTGCGGGGTCCGCCTGATTTGATTTGATCTCCTGTCCGCCTGCACACCAGACTCGCAACAGGGTCAGCAGGTCGCTTATTATGCCTATGCCTTGCGCCTAGCAAGCTGACCTTAAAGCTTAATTAGAATGGTGCTTGCATTCATTCCGCGCTGCAGGAGGCATCACGCAATTGCACCGACCTTTGCACCTCCCCTTGAATGAGTCACATCCAAGGAGATGCCCCTCCCCTCCCTGCTTCAGTCAGCTGCTTGCCCTAGCGTAGTTACATGTGCATGCTGTGCCATCCATCTCCCTATACCAACAAATGTAACCACTGCATGTGCGCATGTATGTATTATTTGTAAATAATACACGCTTGTACCGGGTCAACATCTTTGCCCTGAATGTCAGGACAAGTCTTGCTGGAGGTGCTTTTGCATGCTGCCAGAGGGAAGCGAGGGGCAGGGGAACTCTCTTGCGGGCACTTGCTAGGAACAGTTGTTAGCATTGTGAGGTGTCCCTGATTGAGTTATCTCTTGCAGGGCATCTCTCCTGGAGAATCTGCAGCCAAGTGTTGTCAGCCCATGGCTACATGGCTCTCTTGTGGTCGTGCCCACAGCATCTACCATCTAAGGTAGTACTTGAGCTAGGAGAGTCATTCACTGGTCGACATATGCTGCACTGGTTGGTATGATGTTCATTATACCAGTAAGAGTAGAAGTGGAAGAGGCCATGTAAAGTAGTTGAAAGTCTGGGAGAACTTGAAAGAGGGAAGAACTTGATATGAGAGGAACACAAAGCCAAAAGTCAAGGCAACGCAAGCCAGCAGCTGCACTGAGAATTCTTCATACGAGCATGTGTGACTATGAGAGAAAGCATGTGGCCACCAATCTCACTCTGACGCCTCACTTCCCCTTGCTGACTCCCAGGAGCTGTAGCCTTTCCTTAGCACTGCTCAGCGTGCGCCTTAGGGATTGCTTTGGTACCACCGGCACCATTCCTGCAAAAGCCTTACTTCTACCCCCCTTGCTCCTCTCCATGCTCTCGCTCTCCTTCACCTCCCTGCTGTTACTGCTGCTGGGGCTGTATTTGTTCAAGCTGTAGCTGCTACTGCTGCTGGGTGTAGGGCTGTTGAAGCTGCTGCAAGGGCTGTCACTGCTGCTTATAACGCGTATGTTGTCACTCATCGTGGCAAAATTCGCCACTGATTTGGATTCCCGCATTCTAGGAAAAAATGTATTTGTTTTAGCCGGATGACTGGGTGTAGTGCACTCGGGGGTCCCAAAACCGTCACTGACGGTGGCTCTCGGCGTAGATGACGCGGATCCGTCTTTCCGGTGCCACGCGGAAGACAACTGGCGGAAGGACATATTCCGGCGCAGGGCACTGGGGGAGGGTTGCGCCTGAACCGCTACAGTTGGCGGTTCCTGGTACGATCTGTGCTTGCAGAATTCACGCCGCTCCAGGGACTTGCTCATCCCGTTATTGTCACCCTTCTCCAATTGAGCGCCAGCCGACAGCGCTGCAGCGGGGGCAGTGTATCGGTACGGAAAGCCGCTCTCATTCGTGGCATCGATATCGTTCCAATCAGCGGTTGAGATTTGAGACGATGGTGGAGGTGTCGTCTGCTTCGATGCGAACCAGCGGTGTCCCCAATTGAACGACGGCCCTGTTGCTGATGAATCTAGCGAGATTCGCAAACCATTGCGGGGTGTAGTAGATGCGTTGGTGGCTAGGTGATCGTATGAGAAACTAGAGCGAGCGACCCGATTATCGCAGTTGCTATATCGCGTTTCTTCATCCAGCGCCATCAACACCTGCTGCGTCTCCACGACGCGCAAAGCCGCTTCGCTGATTCTGCACCGCGCCGCATCCATCCACTTCGGATCGCATGCCAGCTCAGCAGAAGCGCGCGCGTCGTCAAACGATGAGGACGCGCGCATCAGTTCGTATTGCTCCGCCAAGTCCTCCCCGCCCGCCGCTTCCCCCCACTCGCTGCTCTCTCCGCTGTTGCTGCGACTGTGCGACGCGGCGGGCAGGAAGACACGCGGGGCGTCATTCCCCCAGACTCCGTGGTTTGCTGCGCATGTGGGTTGATTTGCTCGCGCATGGCTTCCGCGCTCCACCAATTGTGGCGGCGCGAATGGCCGCGTAAACTCTTGCGCTTCAGTGGACAATTGCGTCTGCGGAATCTGTACACGCATCGGCTGCATTGGCTGCGCCGGCGTCGGAATTGATTGAGACTTAGGGGAAGATAAATTCTTGGTGTCAACGTGCACCGCCGACAAGGGAAGGTGGTGCGATGAGCCGTTCTGCGGCAGCTTCGATGTCGTTTCGGTCTGCCTCACGACCGTTGACTCGTTCAACCTTCGCGACTCCGTCGAGTCGCTTGACCGCGTTGACTCGGTCAACTCATCCAACACAGACTGAGGGTCAGATTCGGCGACAATGCGAGAATGGACAGCGCTCGCACAGAAGGATGCACCAAGAAGGCTTGAATCCGACGGCGTGCGACGGTGGCGGCGACGAGCGACGGAGAGCGCAGCCGGACGGAGCGTCGCACACAACTCGCCCAATTCTGTATTTGTCGCGTGGACGCGCGGAGAAAATTGACCGAATGCAGTGGCGCTGCCGCAATCAAGCTGGGCTAGAGTCTCGTCAGCACATCGCGATGACGCGAACGCCGATACAGAGAGGGCGGTGCGGCCACGTGGTGTAGTAGAGGCTTGGTGCGTCGTCGGTTGAAAAGGCGACCTCTTTCCTGGCGAATTGATGGGTGAAACCGCGGCGAGCGAAGCGGTGAATGCGGCGGCAGGAAAGGAGAGACACGACGTTGAAGAAGACCGCCTGTGACGGGTCGAAGTTGTCCGCGGACCTTGAGGGTTGTCCCTTTGCACGAGGCCGAAGGAAGGCCCATTTCCGAGCCAGCCAGCGTTATTCGCATTGCGCTGAATGGAAAAGAAGGCGTTAGGAGACGCGAGACCGCTTCCCGCCGCGCACGGTGGCTGCATTATTGCACGGCGTTTGGGTCGCCGAGCGTCAAACGCAAGAATCTACTATCGATATGTCTTCAGAAGAATGATTTGAGGGACGAAGGACAGATTGTACTGAGTTGTGGATAGGCAGGAAAAGAGACTTGAAGCCAGCACAATTTCTCAGATAAAGGGACATGAAGTGGTGAGGGAACTGTTGGGCAGGGCAGAAATATGGTCGCCAGCAGAATTGTGGGGGGCGAATTGTAGCGGCACTTTCAATGTTGATTCTCCCACCAGCTCGACGTATCACCCACTGTATGCGACCAGGGCTGGCTTTCACCAAGATGTCCAGCTCAAGAATTACAGTACAGAACAGAATGTTCGGGCGAGAGGAAAAATATCTTATGTCTGAAATATGTAATGGTGCCGATGATGCCAATTTCCAGGTGTTCGCATCGCACCGATAAAAATATCGCAGTCCAATCGGTGGGGTTGAGCAGGAACTCTGGCTTGTGTACAGTACCCACTGCATGGATGAAAGAACATGCATCGCAAGTACAGTACTCGCCTTCTGTGCTGCCCACACAGCATGGCGAAAAAAATGTTTCCCATCTGTCCATACGGGGCAAGGAGGGAAAGAATGTACACAACAGAAAATGATACCATACACGTCGACCAGCATTTTCGAAGGCTGGAGGTGTATCCATTCCACCCACCCCCTCCATTTGCTGGCAGGGGATTCAGTTGCACAGTGGTTTCAGAAACAGACATGAGGGTCCTATGACAAAATGACAGGTGGTTGCCGTTCCTTGATTGGGAGGCGGTGGAGCATCGCGTCCCGTTCCGTCTTGTGCTCACGCACTGCCGAGCGGAAACAGTGGCGGTGTGCCCGGCAATTCACGTTGAGAATCTATTGTTTTTGTGCCACAGTGTACTCGTCTGCTGGGTTTAAAAGAAGTACACTACACTACATATGTTTAGCACATTCCGGTGCTGTGGTGTACACCAGAGAAACCAGAACAACACCATCTTTATATTTTTCTTTCTATTCCAGCCATTCCGAGCATCCTGAGAGCACTGTGACATCCGACTTTGTGCAGTAGGAGCCCATGACATCCGACAAGCGCGGCGATTCGTGAAATTTTCATGTGAAACCCCTTGGAAGTTCACATGGAGCAGACAAGCAGGCGCTGGTGGTGGCTGGTCCATCCGAGTCCAAACCAAATCAGAAGACAGCTGGCAGATGAGTCCAATAGTGGTTCAAGTTGCCCCATTTTCTCACTGCCAGCAGAGACCTGTCGTGTAATTTGAGGGGCTGAGGATAGCATACGAGCAGGAGCCAATAGGGTTCGCGATTCTAATCGGAAAACCTGGGTGCCTGTGTGGATATGATTTCTGCTAACAACACATCCTATTGTGGTATTCGTTTGTTGAGGTTGGACAGCGTGCAGAAAGATGTGCATGTCATTTCACAAATTATAACAATTCAAGAATAAGGTACAACAGCACGATGTCAAAACGTTAAAGCCCCTAAGACAGCTTCTGGTGGGCACAGAGGAGCAAACCGGGGAAGGCGAACCAATCACTCACTTACTCAGCATCCACCGTTTCGAATCATTCTTAGGGTGCACTGCACATGTATAAAAAAATCAACTCAGCTGTTGAGGTAGACTCTCTGCCTCAACTGCAGCACTTCGCTTCATTACCTTCATAGGCTGCCCTTCCTCCCCATCATTAAGCTCCATCTCATTTGGTGGTGTGCTCGGAGGCGACTCAACCTCAGGCTGCTTCGGCACCCGAACAATGGCTTCCGGTTGCGCTTCCCGCGCCAAAATTGCCGCAGCAGCCGAGGCAGACAGTGGAGGAATGGCGTGAGGAGACCTGCCAGCAGCAGCACTGCCTGCATTGGCAGCACCAGCGACAGCAGCGGAGATCATCCCGGCCAATCCGGCGCCGCCAGGTGTCGCGGCACGGGAGGGGGAATGGGAGGAGGAAGCGGTGGCGGTGGCGGCGGCAGCTGCTGCTGCGTTGCGAAGGGAAGCGAATGAGCGCACCTGGGTGGAGTGGGGGCAGCATGAGGGGGGATGGGGATGGAGAGGGGGCAGTGCGCAAGGATGAGGAGTGAGAGGAGGCAGTATGGGGGATATGGAGGAGGTAGGGACACTTATTGAATGCTTCAAATAACACATAGGATGGAGAGTAACAGTGTGAGGGATAGAGGATGCATTATAGGGGATGGAGAGGAGGACGTATGGGGAGAGAGGCCACTATAGGGGACAGAGAGGAGGCAGTGTGGTGGGGGTTTGGGACAGAGGAGATGCAATTACCTGCCCAGGCGTTACCTGCTCCAGGCGCTGCCTTCTCATGCTACAGACGTTACCCACCTGCTCCAGTAGTTACCTGCTCCAAACACTATCCACCTGCTCCAGTAGTTACCTGCTCCAAACACTATCTACCTGCTCCAGTTGTTACCTGCTCCAAACACTATCTACCTGCTCCAGGCGACGGGCTGCATCGAGACGATCCTCGTTGTATGAGCTGGGGAACTGATGGGGTGAGATGAAGAGACAGAAGAGAAGGGGAAAAAAGGTGGAGGATTGAGTTAGCACAGATATGAGGCCATTTGCGAGACGATGCTCTCGAGAAACAGAGACAAAATAATCCCACAGCAAGGCACAACTATTTCTACTATTAGGATGCCATCAGGGCACAACCTGACTGACGACAACCAACGAATGTTGAGCAAGAATAACAATCGGGGTGAGCAACCTTTTGCGAACTTCGCCTCTGTGTGAACGGCATGGTCAGATTTCCATCAGTGCAGGATGGAAGCGCTCTGCTACCAGGAATTGACTGTGGAGTGCACAGCATACGTAGTGAATTGGTCATCCACGTGTGTGTGGGACTCTTCAGGGTGCAACATTCATGGTGGGGGATTTGCAGAGGAGGGAGGTAGGGACTCACAAGATGCGGGGCGTATCTCTGAATGGCTGCCAGTACTGCCGCGTGCCCCACAGGCGTCATCTGGGGGAGGTGGGAGGTGGGGAGGAGGGAGGGTGGGGGTGGAAGGTAGGTGGGTGGGAGGGAGGTGAGGAGCGGAAGGGAGGTGGGAGGGAGGGAGGCAAGAGCATATGGGTGGATGGCAGAGTAGGGTACTGAAGACTGAAGGGCACACATTGGGTTGAGTATGAGGAGGGGAAGGAGAGAGAGAGGAAGCGAGGCATTCACATGCTATCCCATCTGACACACAGGAACAAGCATTAGGAATAAAAAGAGAGGCACACACCTGGATGAGCATGAGAATGCCGATGGGAATCACAGATGCCATGTCTGTCAGCGTGCGCTTCAAACAGACATGCTACGGAGGAACACTCAGGCTGGCACAGTTCACACCCATGCTAGAGAGAGGGACGCACCGGGATGAGCATGAGAATGCCGATGGGAATCACAGATGCCATGTCTGTCAGCGTGCGCTTCAAACAGACATGCTACGGAGGAACACTCAGGCTGGCACAGTTCACACCCATGCTAGAGAGAGGGACGCACCGGGATGAGCATGAGAATGCCGATGGGAATCACAGATGCCATATCCGTCAACGTCCGCTTCAGAACTTTTGCTTCTCGGTCAGTCAGGGGCTGCCCGAGTGCTGCCCGCTGCAGCATCTTCATTGCAACCGCCACGTCTGTGCTCAGAAGCTGTGTGCCTCGCCACGCATCCTGACGGGAGGAGGTGACATGGGGAGGACATGGGGGTTCATAGGGAGAGGTGGGGTAAGAGTGTGTAATGCGCCGCCCGCTGCAGCATCTTCATTGCGATTGCCACATCCATGCTGAGGAGCTGAGTGCCTCGCCATGCATCCTGGTGTAAAGAAGGTGACATGGGGGGAATATGGGAAACATGGGGGGTGACGGGAATAATGCGCTGCCCGCTGCAGCATCTTCATCGCGACTGCCACGTCCGTGCTCAGAAGCTGCGTGCCTCGCCACGCGTCCTGATGGAGGGGACGGTGGCATTGGCGGATACATGGAGTGATGGGGGGACACGGGGGAAGATGGAGGGGATGGGGGGTAGCGTGCGCTGCCCGCTGCAGCATCTTCATCGCGACTGCCACGTCCGTGCTGAGAAGCTGAGTGGGAGCGGTGGAGGGGGATTATGTATTTGAACACTCGCTGAGGGGGAGAGACACGTGGGGACAGGGGGGAAGAGAATGTTTTAAGAGAGGAGGCAGTGAGTGGTGCTGCATGTCTCGCAACATCTCGCCTATCCCCTCTCTACCATCCCCACCTCACAGCCCCTCGCCCCTTATCTGCTCTAGCGGCTGGTAAATTAGGCTCTACTCCAGCTTTTTCCCCACCCCTCTCAACCGCTCTCCCATCCCCGCCACCCATCCTTACCGCTCCGCCTTCTCGAATGTGCTCCAGAGATTGGTCAATCACGCTCTTCTCCTGCCTCTCCCCCTCGCCTGCCCTGCTCGTCACATCGCTCCCCTCCCACTCATCCAGCCCTCCACTGCTGCTTCCGTCCGGACCAGCCCTCCCCCCCCCCACACTCCATGAGTCGCCACCAGTACCAGCACCACCACCACCACCACCACCAGCACCACCAGCACCAGCAGCAGCAGCAGCAGCACCACCAGCAGGAGCAACAGCAGCGGCAGAAGCAGCAACAGCAGAACCACCGGCAGCAGCAGCAGCGGAGGAGGAGGGGGCAGATGTGGGGATGGTCCAGGAGGAGGAGTCAAAGAGACGGTCAAAGATGGACGGTGCTTTGGGAGGGGACGTCTGGGTGGTCTCCTCACGCTCAATGGAGGAAGATGCTGCTGCTGACGTGGCAACAGCAGCACCAGCAGCAGCAGCAGCGGCAGCAGCAGGAGCAGCAGCAGTGGCAGGAGCACCAACACTACCACCGCCAGCCACCTTTCCTCCCCTACCAGCACCAGCACCAACGTCAGCGCCTCTCTGCAGCAGTCTCGCCTCCAGCTCCCTCAGCTGCACCTTCAGCTGCTGTAGCCTACGAGCCTCTGCTCCCAACCCTCCCATGCTCACTGCCGCATGTCTCCCATCCCCATCCCCATACCCGGCCCCTGCATTGGCCTCTACAGCGCCTGCCCATGCACTCCTGTCAAAGAACTCCTCCCTGAATGCCCACGAGCTGTTGGCATCCTGCCCTTCACCCTTCCTCCTCCCCTCTCCCCGGCCCCCCTGCCCTCCCTTCTCTCCGTCCCCTCCATCCCCTCTCCCCCGCCCTTGTAACGGCACTTGCGCATGTGCAGGTCTTTGCATCTGCATCTGCGCCTGTGCCTGTGTCTGTGCCTGGTTCGCTGCTGCAGCCCTCACAGACCCAACAGTTCCATCTCTTTTGCTTGCCTCGCTGCTACCAGCAGCAGCTGTTGCTGGTGCTGACGTGGGTGTGCATGATTGGAAGGGGGAGAAATCATCGTCATCATACTCAGCCCGCGTTCCCTGCACGCCTGACCCACTCATATCCCTCTCCATCTCTTCCAACCTCCCTCTTCTCCCTGCATTTCCTCGCCCCTCTGTGCTCCCTCCCCTGCTTCTGCTACCGTCCCCCCCCTCCTCCTCCCCATCTGCCTCCTCCCCCTCAATTTTGGACAGAAGCGATGAGTCTTCCTGGGCAGCTTGTCCGGGCAGCTGGAAGAAATAACTGCGTCCGGAGCGTGCACCAGGGGCGGCAGGGGCGGTAGCAGCAGCAGAGGTGGCGGGAGCAGGAGGATTGGCAGAGAGGAAAGCAGAGGTGAGGTAGGAGGGGAAGGGTGAGTCAGCGAGGGCTGACGTGTCGTGAGACGATTGGCTCTTGTGGAGGGAGGAGTAATGGGGAGCTAGAGGGTCATCGTAAGCACCAACTATAGAGGCGATAGTGGCTGTGGTGTCAGTGGTGGTGGTGCTGCTGGTAGTGGTGCTGGCGTTGGCGTTGGAAGGATTGGGGGAGGGTGAGAAGGAGAAGAGGTCCCCGAGTGTGCCCAGGAATCTATGGGGAAGGGGGGGTGGGAGGGGAGAGGGAGGGGAAGGTGCAGGAGAGTTTTTGTAGAGGTGAAAAACACTTCGTACGTACGTATCTACATACATCCATGCATGCATGCGTGGATAAACATGCGATGACTGTTTCACACCACACTTCTCACATACCCCATGCTATGAGTCCTTGGGTGTCTGTGCTGTTGTTGTTGCTGCTGCTGCTGCTCCATCTGCTTCTCCATCTCCCGTGCTGCTGCCTGCCTCCTCTGCCGACTCACCTTCTCCCCCACCTCCTCCTGTACATTACACAGGCGAGTCAGATGCAGATGCAATAGTGAAATCCGAAAAAGACTCAATCTCAACGGACATGTCAGAAAGGGATTTGAAAGAGAGGATTGTTACAAAGAAACTGCTTGTAACAATCTTTGTAATGGATTCTTACAATGGGCGCTCTGTGTCATCTGTCAACCCCTCCCTTCCCCTCTCACACACTGTGTGCTCTACGCTGTCCGTCAACCCTCTCCTTTCCTTTCTCTCCTCTCCTCTCCTATCCTCTCCTCTCCTCACTTCCCCTCTCACCTGCTGTCGTCGCACCCTCTCCTCCTGAACTGCTGCTTTCATCTTTAAGCGTCTCTCCAGTGCTCGAATCTCCTCCCTCACCCGCACCAGCCTCTCCCATTCCATCGCTCCGAAGCCAATAGCTCACTCGTGCCCGCACCCCTGCCTTCCCTTCTTCCCATCTCACCTGTTGCCGTTGCACTCGCTCCTCTTGAACAGCTCCATTCATTTTTAAGCGCTGCTCTGTCTGTCTTTCAGCCCTTCCCCTCTCACCTGCTGCCGTCGCACCCTCTCCTCCTGAACTGCTGCTTTCATCTTCAGCCGTCTCTCCAACGCTCTGATCTCCTCCCTCACCCGTACCAGCCTCTCCCACTCCACGCGCACCAACGCCAATCGCTCACTCGTCCCCGCCCCCCCTGCCTTCCCTTTCACCCAGCCCGCCCCTGCAGCTCTCCCTTCCATGGAACCTGCTTCTGTCGAACGCGCGACGTGTTTCTGTGCCGACTTCGCTCCCACCCCTACTTCCCCGTCTCCCCTTCCTTCCTCTGCCCCTTCACCCTTGCCCCCTGTCCTCTCTCCCCTAGCCCCCTCCTCTGCTCTTTCCCCTGCCCCTTCTCTTTCGGCTGCTGTGTCCACTGCACCCTTGCCTGCCATCCCAGCGGCTGAGTGTGAGTACGAGTGAGAGTGAGAGCGTGAGTGTGAGTGTGAGTGTGAGTGTGAGTGTGAGTGTGAGTGTGAGTGTGAGTGTGAGTGTGAGTGTGCATGTGAGTGAGAGTGTGAGTGAGTGGGAGCGTCTCCTCTAAGCCCCGCATTCTCTGCTTCCACCACTCTCATCAGCCGCTCTACTATCTCATCCACAGATAAGAAATCCTGAAGGGAAGAATGCAGAGAAGCAAAGGGAGAGGAGCAAGGGAGGGAGGGAAGCATGAGAATGAGAGAGCGCGACTGACCCACCACTCGCATCAGTCGCTGCACTATCTCGTCCACAGATAGGAAGTCCTGACAAGAAGTAAGAAGAATGAGAGCGGGGACCAAGAGCGGGGTAGAGAGACGGACAGAGACTGACAGAGACGGACAGAGACGGACAGAGACGGACAGAGACGGACAGAGACGGACAGAGACGGACAGAGACTGACAGAGACGGACAGAGACTGACAGAGACGGACAGAGACGGACAGAGACAGACAGAGACGGACAGAGACGGACAGAGACGGACAGAGACTGGCAGAGACTGACAGAGAAGGACAGAGACGGACAGAGACGGACAGAGACGGACAGAGACGGACAGAGACGGACAGAGACTGACAGAGACTGACAGAGACGGACAGAGACGGACAGAGACGGACAGAGACGGACAGAGACGGACAGAGACGGACAGAGACGGACAGAGACTGACAGAGACGGACAGAGACGGACAGAGACGGACAGAGACGGACAGAGACGGACAGAGACGGACAGAGACTGACAGAGACTGACCCGCCACTCGCATCAGTAGCTCTACTATCTCGTCCACTGATGAGAAATCCGGATGGAAAGAAAGCAGAGAAACAAAAGGAGGGGAGCAAGAGAGGGAGATAGCGCAACTGACCTGCCACTCCCATTAGTCGCTCTACTTTCTCGCCCATCAGCATCCTCCTCACTTGGTTCAACGCATTCAGTTCCCCCCTGGTGAGGAGGGGGCTGATGGTTGATTGCCCTCACGCCATGACGTTGAACGCCCTCAGTTGCTTGCCAAGCGTGCTCAACCACATTCACCATCAACCATCAGCACCCTTCTCACCTGGTTCAGCACCTTGAGTTCCTTCTCCATGACCTTCAGTGCTCTCAATTCCTTCTCCAGCCGACAGCGCCCACCCACGCAGACAATCAATCAACCAATCATCAGCACCCTCCTCACCTGGTTCAGCGCCTTCAACTCCCTCTCCATGACCTTGAGTCCTCTCAGCTCCTTCTCCAGCCGTCTCCTCGCCTCCTCCCGCTCCCTCGCCTCGCCTCCTGCTCCACCTCCTCCATGACCTTCAGCCCCCCAGTTCCTTGCCAAGCACGCTCACCCACGCACACATAGACAGCCAAACCAACCATGAGCACCTCACCTGGTTCAGCGCCTTGAGTTCCCGCTCCATGACCTTCAGCCCATACAACTTTCAGCCCGCTCAGTTCCTTCTCCAGCCGACAGTGCTCACCCACGCACACATAGACAGCCAAACCAACCATGAGCACGTCACCTGGTTCAGCGCCTTGAGTTCCCGCTCCATGACCTTCAGCCCATACAACTTTCAGCCCGCTCAGTTCCTTCTCCAGCCGACAGTGCTCACCCACGCACACATAGACAGCCAAACCAACCATGAGCACGTCACCTGGTTCAGCGCCTTGAGTTCCCGCTCCATGACCTTCAGCCCATACAACTTTCAGCCCGCTCAGTTCCTTCTCCAGCCGACAGTGCTCACCCACGCACACATAGACAGCCAAACCAACCATGAGCACCTCACCTGGTTCAGCGCCTTGAGTTCCCGCTCCATGACCTTCAGCCCATACAACTTTCAGCCCGCTCAGTTCCTTCTCCAGCCGACAGTGCTCACCCACGCACACATAGACAGCCAAACCAACCATGAGCACCTCACCTGGTTCAGCGCCTTGAGTTCCCGCTCCATGACCTTCAGCCCATACAACTTTCAGCCCGCTCAGTTCCTTCTCCAGCCGACAGTGCTCACCCACGCACACATAGACAGCCAAACCAACCATGAGCACCTCACCTGGTTCAGCGCCTTGAGTTCCCGCTCCATGACCTTCAGCCCATACAACTTTCAGCCCGCTCAGTTCCTTCTCCAGCCGAAAGTGCTCACCCACGCACACATAGACAGCCAAACCAACCATGAGCACCTCACCTGGTTCAGCGCCTTGAGTTCCAACTCCATGACCTTCAGCCCATACAACTTTCAGCCCGCTCAGTTCCTTCTCCAGCCGACAGTGCTCACCCACGCACACATAGACAGCCAAACCAACCATGAGCACCTCACCTGGTTCAGCGCCTTGAGTTCCCGCTCCATGACCTTCAGCCCATACAACTTTCAGCCCGCTCAGTTCCTTCTCCAGCCGACAGTGCTCACCCACGCACACATAGACAGCCAAACCAACCATGAGCACCTCACCTGGTTCAGCGCCTTGAGTTCCCGCTCCATGACCTTCAGCCCATACAACTTTCAGCCCGCTCAGTTCCTTCTCCAGCCGACAGTGCTCACCCACGCACACATAGACAGCCAAACCAACCATGAGCACCTCACCTGGTTCAGCGCCTTGAGTTCCCGCTCCATGACCTTCAGCCCATACAACTTTCAGCCCGCTCAGTTCCTTCTCCAGCCGACAGTGCTCACCCACGCACACATAGACAGCCAAACCAACCATGACACCTCACCTGGTTCAGCACCTTGAGTTCCCGCTCCATGACCTTCAGCCCATACAACTTTCAGCCCGCTCAGTTCCTTCTCCAGCCGACAGTGCTCACCCACGCACACATAGACAGCCAAACCAACCATGAGCACCTCACCTGGTTCAGCGCCTTGAGTTCCCGCTCCATGACCTTCAGCCCATACAACTTTCAGCCCGCTCAGTTCCTTCTCCAGCCGACAGTGCTCACCCACGCACACAATCATTAATCACAAATATCCTGACCTGACTCAGAGCCTTTAATTCCCTCTCTATAACCTTGAGTCCTCTCAGTTCCTTCTCCAACCGCCTCCTCGCCTCCTCCCTCTCCCTTGCCTCCCGCTCCACCTCCTCCATCTCGCCCATCTCCACCGCTCCCGACCCCTCTAAACGCCTCCCAACCTCATCTGAAGAATCAGAATCAGAAGAGGGGACCAGCACGCCAGGCGCTCTGTGAGGTGAGGGGTAGGGGGGAGGGCGCGGGAAGAGGAAGAAAGGAAGGGGAGGAGCGGGAAGGGGGAAAGGAGGGTTGAAGAGGGAGGGAAGGCAGACGATGAAGAGATGGGGGAAGAAGAAGGACATTAGCGGGAGTACACAGTTAATCAATCAATCTCCGCATTCATTCACTCACTTTCCCACTCATGCTTCTTGTGCCCATTCAAGCACTCACTCTCCTCCTCTTACCCAATCGCTCACTCACGCACTCACTAACTCACCCACCCACCCACACACACACACACACTCACGCACTCGCTCCTCTAGTTTCTCTTCCCATCCCACTCACTCTGCGGCCACGTGGTGCTTGGTTGATGGCTCCAGGCACAGCCCCAAAAGAACCATGCTGGAGGAGTGGAGAGGGATTGAGAGGGGTGGAGAGGGATAGAGAGGGATGGAGAGGGATAGAGAGGGACAGCTGTTTAGGGATCAAGGCCCATCGCAAGCAGCACATTCACCGTTCATCAGCCCTTTACAGCCCTCTTAACCCTTTTATGTCCCTCCAGACCTCTCCACACCCATGTTCACCCCATCACCACCACACACACTCACTCACCCCTGGGCCATGAAAGCAGCGGCTCGCGAATCAGGCTGCTGCAGCAGCCAACTCGAGTGCCGCTCCCAATCCCTCGCCCACATGCCGCACACCTCCTTACCCACCAGCACCGCTCTGCGCCGCCTCCGCCGATGCCGGTGCCGCTGCCGCTGTGCCGAGAGTGGCGAGAGGGAGGAGGGGTCAACGTCAGGGTGGCGCTTGGAGGAGAGGGGGGGGAGCAGCGGCAGCCATGCAAGCTCTTCTCTTAGGACCTGAAGGGCGGAAAGAGAGTTGGAGGGAGGAGACAATCCGAAGATGTGGTGAGAGGGAGGAGGGGTCAACGTCAGGGTGGCGTTTGGAGGAGAAAGGGGGGGAGGAGCGGCAGCCAAGCAACCAGGCGAGCTCTTCTCTTAGCACCTGAGAGGGGAAAGGGAGGGGAGGGAGGAGGAAAGAGGAAGTTAAGGGCAGGATGGGGCGAGAGGGAGGAGGGGTCAACGTCAGGGTGGCGTTTGGAGGAGAGAGGGGGGAGGAGCGGCAGCCAAGCAAGGTCCGCCCTTGGGACCCGAGAGATGCGGAAAGGGGAGGGAAGTGCAAGGTTAGGAAGAAAGAGCGCGGCAGGGAGGACGGGTTTTGAGGCGCCTCAAAAGGAAGAAAGAGCGCGGCAGGGAGGACGGGTTTTGAGGCGCCTCAAAAGGAAGAAAGAGCGCGGCAGGGAGGACGGGTTTTGAGGCGCCTCAAAAGGAAGAAAGAGCGCGGCAGGGAGGACGGGTTTTGAGGCGCCTCAAAAGGAAGAAAGAGCGCGGCAGGGAGGACGGGTTTTGAGGCGCCTCAAAAGGAAGAAAGAGCGCGGCAGGGAGGACGGGTTTTGAGGCGCCTCAAAAGGAAGAAAGAGCGCGGCAGGGAGGACGGACGGGTGAAGGTTTAGTTTGCAAGAGGGCTAGGAGGAGATGGGGCAGCCATGCAAGCTGTTCCCTTAGTAGAACCACCCTGATATGTTGTCCAGCTGGGGGAAGGTGGGAGGTATTTCACCTGTACCTGCTGCTACTGCAATAAACCATCTGTCACCTCCACAAACCCCTCACCTCCACAAACCCCTCACCTCCACAAACCCCTCACCTCCACGAGCCCCTCACCTCCACAAGCCCCTGGTACTTGGATATGTTGTCGAGCTGGGGGAAGGTGAAGATGATTGCTCCCTCGAAATGGCTGGAGGTTGGGGGGGGATGAAGGGAGGTGGGGGGGGATGAAGGGAGGTGGGGGGGGGTGAAGGGAGGTGGGGGGGGGATGAAGGGTGGTGGGGGGGGGTGAAGGGAGGTGGGGGGGCCGAGGGAAGGTGGGAGAGAGAAGGGAGGAAGAGTGGGGAGGGAGTAAGGGAATCAGGGAATGATGGGGAAGGGAGGTCCTTGTTTGCCACCCAAACTGCTGGCTCGGCTTGAATTGACCGAGAAAAAAATGAGTGGCGAGATGAACCCGGGGGTAAAAGGGAGGGATAGAGAGATGGGAGAAGGGAAAGGGTGGGGCAAGGGCCATGCCAGTCACGCATGATCACCATCCATACCCATGCTATGCCATGCCATCACCACACCCATGCCATCACCACACCCATGCCATCACCACACCCATGCCATAACCACCCTCACACATATCCCCACCCCACCACCCACGTCAGCAGCGTCGCCAGCCCCTCATCCGCCTCGCTGGCGCCCTCTGATTGGAGGAACAGCCGAGTCGCCCGCCCAAGAGCCACGAAGAATCCAAACACCGCCAGCTCAGCTTTCAAGCTCTCCCCTTCCCCCTCCCCCGCGCCCCCCCACTCCCCCTCCCCCTCCCCCCAATCCTCGAAAATTTTCTCCCGGACCAGAGCTGCCCGCAGCTGCCGCTCCACCAGTTGCACCCAGAAGCGGCGCTCGCCGGGCAGCACGCGAAAGTTCAGGTGCCCGCCCGCGCGCTGCCCGAAGTGCGAGAGGAACTCGGTGCGCAGTCCCGCCCTCACTGCATGGAGGTAGACATCGTCAATGTCCGCTGCTCTTAGAAGGTGGTCGAATAGATGGCGCAGCTGAAAGCATGGGAGTTGGAGGGAGAGAAACGGGTGGGTGGGGGAGGAGCAGAGGGAGAAACGAGTAGAGGATGGTGTGGCGGAGGATGGAGTAGACCCTACGCGTGACCGCGTCCACTGCTCACCTGCTCCTCCACCCTCCATCCTCACCTCGCCATCCTCACCTGCCTGCCACCACCCTCCAGCACCCACCTGGTCCTCCAGCGGCAGATAGAAAGCAGCACAGCCAACAGCCTTGGGGGGGGCAAAGAAGCGCACGGCACCGATGATCTCCCTCTCTTCGCTGCTCTGCTCACCTGCCCCTCCACCCGCCTCTCCTCACCTGATCCTCCAGCAACACAGAAAAAGCGGCGCAGCCAACAGCCTCAGGTGGGGCAAAGAAGCGCACGGCGCCGATGATCTGGAACAGCAGCAGGAACAGCGCCATGTCACTGTCCGCCAGCCTGGCACCCACCACGCTGGCAGCTGTCGGCGCGCCACGTGGTGCGAGGGATGCTGACGTGGCGGCAGGTGAGAGAGCCGCATGAGGAGGGTGGGGTAGCCCGTCGTCGAGTCCAGAGGCCTTAGCGGAGAGCTGCACGTCCTGGCTGGATGGTGGAGGAGGGGAAAAGGGAGGAGCAAAGTGCGGTGCAGTGCGGTGCTGGGGTAAGGGGTTTGGATCGTCCTGTGAGGCCTTGGCGGATAGCTGCACGTCCTGGCTGGATGGGGGACGGGGGGGAAAAGAGAGGGGCGGAGTGTGGTGCAGTGCGGTGCTGGGGTGAGCTGGGTGGGTGGGGCAGCCCGTCGTCAAGTCCAGAGGCCTTGGCGGATAGCTGCACGTCCTGGCTGGATGGGGGAGGGAGGGGGGAGCGAAGGCAAGAAGACATGCGAGTGGGTCATATCGGCAGCAGAGTGCGGCACCGAATGGTGCTGGGTTTAGCCAGGAAGGATTTTTTGAGAATTCTCAAAAAAATGGTGCTGGGTTTAGCCAGGAAGGATTATCGGAGGGATCACGTTGCCTCATCAGGTGGGGCATAACGGTTGGGGGGCCAACGAGGGCTCAATGAGGGCCAATGAGGACATAGCGGCAGTGATGGTATATCAGTGCAGAACAGTGCAGACCATAGGCAATACGGTCAGCATCATCAGTAGCGCGTGAAACAAGAACACACTCAAACAAGGAGAGGTCGAAGAGGGCACCTGGCACACACCCGACCTGACCAGCTCACATGGCGGCAGTGATGGCTTAGCGGTGCAGCACGGTGCAGCACGGTGCAGCACGGTGCGCCGTGCAAGGAGAGGACAATGAAGCCTCATGCCCCCAACGCGACCTAAAAAACTCACATGGCAGCAGTGATGGCGTATCGGTGCAGCAGCGTGAGCATGGTCAGCAGCGCCTCAAACGCCCCCGGATACGCCCTTCCCCAGAACCACCCGTCCATGCCTCCCCCATCCGCCTCCCCCCCCACCTGCTGCTCCCTGCCCTGCAGCTCCCTCTGCTGCGCCAGCTCATAGCGCATGAAACTCTCAAGGGGCTCGCATAGGCGCGCCAAGCTGAATAGCACCCACGTGGACGCGTCACTGCCGCCCGCATCACCCACTCTGCCGCCCAAATCGGCCCCTCTGCTGCCCCCACTGCCGCCCGCCCTGCCCTGCCCCTCTGTCTCCCCGCCCTCCCCCCTGCCCTGCCCTTCCCTCACCCCCGCCCTCATCCTCTCCATCTCCCGCCCCTCCTCCTCCTCCTCCTCCTCCTCCCCCCACTCCTCCTCCTCGTCCTCGCTACAGCCGCTGCTGCTGTAGCTGCTGCTGCAGCTGCTGCTGCTCCTGCGGCGAGTGAGGCGGGCTGTGGCAGGAACGGTCCCGGAAGCGGTTCCAGGTGCTGTGTCTGACGCTATACCGGCTTCTGTATCAGCTGCAGCGGCTGTAGCGTCTGTAGCAGGGGGTGCAGCAGAGACGGTGCGAGTGATGAGCTCCATAGCTGCTTTCAGCAGCGCCACCACTGCCGCCTGAAACACACAAGAAGCATATGCTTTAGCACGGGGAATGGCATGAGAAGTGGGAGTTCCGGGAATGGCATAAGAAGCAATTAGCCAGTCTCAGCAACGGCTGTGTGTTGCGTGTGTGTGTTTGCTGTGCGAGTGATAGCTGATTTCAGCAGTCCCCTTCACCCGTGCCCTTCCACTCCCCATCACCGCACTGCACACCTGGCATCCCACGCGCTTCACCCATTCGTCCGTCTCTCCGCCGCCCGCCCCCGCGAGCGCGAGCCAGCTGCCCACGCGGAAGAAATCCCCCGCCGCACCCCCCCTGCTGCGGAACTCCCGCACCTTCTCCTGCACCTTCCGCGAGGCTTCCGCCAAAGCTTCCGCCAAGTCCCGCCACGACGACTTTCTCCGCCCGGGAGGGCCGCTAGCTCCGCCGGTTCCGCCGGTTCCGCCGATTGCGCCAGTAAGTCCGCCTAACCCGAGCCCCAGGAGCGCGGATCCCCCCGCGACTTGCTGCGAAGCTAGCTCCTCCTCTTCAAATTCCTTCCGCCAATCCCACGGCTCGCCCATCTTCACCGCACCCAACTCCTGCTCCGATTCCTCCGCTTCCCCTTCCGCCAGATCCCGCGCGAAAGCAGATAAGCGGATCCGCGCAGTCAGTGCAGTCAGCGCGTTCCACCAGCGGGGTTGCTGCCAACGCAAGTCCGCGGAGTCGCGGCGGAGATATCCGCGCGGAGCGGACCAGGCGAAGGCAGAAAGCGCGGACGGCGCGGACTCGTGGCGGTGGAGCTGACCAGGAAGCGGCGGAACAACGTCCGCGAGAGCCGCGCGGTCTCGGGGAGAGGGGAAACAATCTGACGATGCTCCTGAGGGCTCGCTTGGCTCCGCGGAGACTGAAGGATTGCAGGTGCGCGGAGGGCGGTGGGGAAGCTCTAGCCCGACTTCCCCAGTCGCACCGACAATGGGCTGCGCAAGGTACGACATGTGCAGCCTAAGCCAGATATATATGGGGAAGGTGGATTTGCACAGGAGGAAATATCACCGGACTAGAATAAACAAGCTTTCGCAAAGACATCGGTCCCATGATCTAGCGGTTATGATGTCAGACTCTGAATCTGAATGCCCGAGTTCAATTCTCGGTGGGACCTTTCTTGCTCTCCTCTCTGTTAACAGATTCGACTTTTGTGATTGGAGGCTCAACACGTGTCCGAGTCTCAATGGCTGATACCTAACCTGTCAGCGGCTCGACTCTGGTGAAATTTCTTGACGACAAAATGAGCAGGGGAATTGATCAGACTGGGGCCCCGGGTTAGCAGAAACAGTGCCAACTTGGGGCCTCGTGAGTCGCGACCCTACGAAATAGGCCCGAAGCAAATCACAAGACTGGGCAGCAGGTCCGAACCTGGCAAACTCGCCAGGTCACCACCTACTGCCTTGGGTTTGACGGAAATCGCTAGCACCCCACACCGCTGGAAGCACAACAATCCGTCAAACCAACACAGTCTGATCGAGATACAGCACAAGCAGCATGTAACAAACAACTCGGAATTATTACGGAAACATAAGACTGCCAGAACACAAAGAGCTGAAACATGAAAATTAATAAAATGAGTGGGCACAAAATGGGGAGGTTCATGACCTTTTTCTGTTAGAGAAATTTCAACCAACCTACCCACATTCTTTCAGAATATGTATACATACATATATGATTTACATGCAAGTGCTTCCCTTGTAAAATCTTCGATGAAAAATCTTCTACCGTATTCCCCCGGATATACCACCCTAGGGTGCTATGATAACTACACAAAAAAAAGGGGGGGTCTTGTCATCGGAAAAAGCTTCATTGCACCCGGGTCTTTACATAATGTGTATTTTTTTTATAGCGTAAAACGATTAGTACTAAATGTACATCTGTATTTTTGTTTTACATCTGTACTAAATCGTTTTACGCTATAAAAAAAATACACATTATGTAAAGACCCGGGTGCAATGAAGCTTTTTCCGATGACAAGACCCCCCCTTTTTTTTGTGTAGTTATCATAGCACCCTAGGGTGGTATATCCGGGGGAATACGGTAGAAGATTTTTCATCGAAGATTTTACAAGGGAAGCACTTGCATGTAAATCATATATGTATGTATACATATTCTGAAAGAATGTGGGTAGGTTGGTTGAAATTTCTCTAACAGAAAAAGGTCATGAACCTCCCCATTTTGTGCCCACTCATTTTATTAATTTTCATGTTTCAGCTCTTTGTGTTCTGGCAGTCTTATGTTTCCGTAATAATTCCGAGTTGTTTGTTACATGCTGCTTGTGCTGTATCTCGATCAGACTGTGTTGGTTTGACGGATTGTTGTGCTTCCAGCGGTGTGGGGTGCTAGCGATTTCCGTCAAACCCAAGGCAGTAGGTGGTGACCTGGCGAGTTTGCCAGGTTCGGACCTGCTGCCCAGTCTTGTGATTTGCTTCGGGCCTATTTCGTAGGGTCGCGACTCACGAGGCCCCAAGTTGGCACTGTTTCTGCTAACCCGGGGCCCCAGTCTGATCAATTCCCAATGAGCAGCAATCAACCGTTTCCCAGATGGACGTTTTACCCATCGCCCAGCGATCCCCAAATTGCATCGCATGTGCTGTTGGACTGCGGCGAGAGTGGGCGACAGTGGCGACCTTGTCGTATGGGGTTGAGCGATGGAACTGTGCTCCGCCCGCATTTCGCTCAGATCCTTCGCCATCCGCGCAAACCCCCGCGGCGCTAGCAACCGCTACGGGCACTAGCGAATTTCTGCTAGCGGCAGCGAACAGTGTATGGCACGTAACAGCCTGTTACGAACGAATTTGTCCGACGCACACCGACATCCCCAGCTGTTTAGGAATCGCCAGTGGTCACGTAGTTTCGGAGGGGATCGTTCAAGCAGTCGCCTGTTACGAAGGGCTTCTGCGTGCCTATGAGCCGGGAATGCGGCCTAACGACAGATTGAGCCACCAGCGATGGTCCTTATTTTGACTTCTGTGGCCTGGACAGAGGTCGCACTAAGTAGTGAAAATCTAGAGGGTGTAGCTCCTCGTAAAATGAACTGCTTTTTTCGCCCAGTGTTTTGGGAATCATCGCACTTGGCGACGGCAGCAACAGTGGGCGACGGTGGCGACTGTATCGCATGGGGTTGCGCGACGCAGCTGTGCTCCGCACGCATGCCGCTCCTTCCCCCTCCGCGCGCCAACTCGCGGCGCCCGCTACCGCCAGTAGCACTAGCGAATTTCCGCTCGCGGCTGAGCCGGCCCCGTCCCCATACCGCTCGCTACTAACCCTCGCAACGCACCGCATCGTCACGCTCATTCTCCTCGTGGCCGTCGCGGCGTGCGTCGCGGCAGGACTCCTCGCCTCGCGCGCGCGCAGCCCCGAGCAGCCGCCGAGGGCGCGGAGGGCGGAAACGGCAGACGGAGAGGAGAAATCCGAAAACGGCGTGGGAATTTTGAAATTCGAAAATTGGACATCGGAAACTGGAAATTCGGAAGTTGGAAATTCGGAAGTTGGAAATTCGGAAATTCGGAAACCGGAAATCCGGAAATCGGAAGTTCAGAAATCGGAATTAGAGGCGTGGGAGCAGCAGCGGCGCGTGTATCGCGACGAAGTCACGCGCGCCGTCGCGCGCGGCGAGCGGTACTACCTGCTCTCCTCCGCCACTGACCGTTGCGTGGGGCAGTCGCACTGGTCCTGGTCGCTGCGCTGCGCCGCGGCGGAGGCGAAGGCGCTTCGGCGCGCGCTGGTGTTGGTGACTGACCGTTGCCTGCACCAGGCGCACTCGCGGACGGGCAGGGACGAGCATGGACACGTGGGGTTGTATTACAATGTCACCACCATGATGAGGTGCGATGGGCGGGGTGCGGCGGAACGGGAGGGAGGGATGAGCATGGGCACGTGGGGTGGTTCTATAACCTCACCACTGCTGTGCAGTGGGGTGGGGTGGGGTGGGGTGCGGTGGAGTGCGGTGAGGTACTGTGTGGCTGAGAGGGCGTGTGCTGTGGGTTTAATGCTGGAAGGGACGAGCATGGGCACGTGTGGCTGTATTACAACCTCACCACCATGATGTGGTGCCGTGCGGTGAGGTGGGGTGAGGTGCGGTACGATGACGTGGGTGGGGTGGGATGTGATGTGTGGTGTAGTACTCATGCAGCTTTCCATACCGCGCTTTGTGGCACGGGAGTGGAACGCCATGTCCATGCCCTTTCCAGCTTCTGTTCTCCCCTCGATTCTCCCACCCCCCTTCATTTGCAGCAACCAATGGTCTTCATGGTGCATTTTCAGGCGCAATGGGGGTCGTGTGTTGGGAGTGGGACGTCAAGCCCAGCCCATGCCTTTTTCCCTCTTCCATCTCCCCCCGCCCCAGCCGGCAGCCAATAATCCTCATGGAGCATTTTCAAGCTCGCTTTGGGTCGTGGGAGTGGGACGTCATACCCAGCCCATGCCTCTCTTCCGTTTCCCCCCTACCCTCCAGCCGGCAACCGATAATATTTCTGGAGCATTTTCAGGCTCGCTACGGTTCGTGGGAGTGGGATGTCATACCCATGCGCAAGTTCCCCTTCTGTCTCCCCACGGTTTCCCCCCACCCCCCTCCATTGCCCTCCCAGCCGCCAGCCAATAGTTTTCTTGGAGCATTTTCAGGTGCGATTTGGGTCGTGGGAGTGGGCCGTGATACCCATGCGCAAGTTTCCCATCGGGCCGCGTACGGGGGAGCTGGCTGTGTGGAGGAACGTGTTTCTGGTGGTGCGTGCACCGCAGGAGGGGCAGTACGGGTTCATGCTGTGCGATAAGCAGCACAGGCAGGTGCGTGGGTGTGGGAGAATGAGAGTTGTCAAGCGAGAGGAACGTGTTTCTGGTGGTGCGAGCACTGGAGGAGGGGCAGTATGGGTTCATGCTGTGCGATAAGCAGCACGCAGGTGCGTGGGTGTGGGAGAATGAGAGTTGTCAAACGAGAGGAACGTGTTTCTGGTGGTGCGAGCACTGGAGGAGGGGCAGTATGGGTTCATGCTGTGCGATAAGCAGCAGGCAGGTGCGTGGGTGTGGGAGAATGAGAGTTGTCAAACGAGAGGAACGTGTTTCTGGTGGTGCGAGCACTGGAGGAGGGGCAGTATGGGTTCATGCTGTGCGATAAGCAGCACAGGCAGGTGCGTGGAGCGACATAGAGGGGCGAGCAGCCCAACCAGGTGATATTCTTCAGAGCTCTCAGAGTTCCTTAGGCCTCCGCACGGGCGAGCTAGCCGTGTAGAGGAACGTGTTTCTGGTGGTGCGTGCACCGCAGGAGGGGCAGTATGGGTTCATAAGGAGCACAATCAGGTGTGGGAGGGGCCAGCAGCACACGCAGGTAATATTCTTCAGACCTCTCAGGGTTCCCCGTAAGGCCGCGTAGGGGAGAGCTTGCAGCACACAGGAACGTTTTTCTGGTGGTTTGTGCACCTGAGGAGGGGCAGTACGGGTATGGGTTCACCCAACGATGTTTTCACCCATCTCGATCATGTTACTGCCTCATGCTCACACATGTATGCATGCATCTGCATCCATCCATATCCCTGTCTCCATCACCATCCTCATCCCCAGAACCAGGACAACATCACATTCGACCCTGAGTTTCTCTTCCCCAACGATGCACTCACCCGCCTCAGTGCCAATCCCACACATACCCTCCCTTGTATTCATGTGTCGTCCATCCATACCCCTGTCCCCATCCCCATCCCCATCCCCATCCCCATCCCCATCCCCATCCCCATCCCCATCCCCATCCCCATCCCCATCCCCATCCCCATCCCCATCCCCATCCCCATCCCCATCCCCATCCCCATCCCCATCCCCATCCCCATCCCCATCCCCATCCCCATCCCCATCCCCATCCCCATCCCCATCCCCATCCCCATCCCCATCCCCATCCCCATCCCCATCCCCATCCCCATCCCCATCCCCATCCCCATCCCCATCCCCATCCCCATCCCCATCCCCATCCCCATCCCCATCCCCATCCCCATCCCCATCCCCACCCATTTGCAGAACCAGGACAACATCACATTCAACCCCGAGTTCCTCTTCCCCAATGACGCAATCACCCGCCTCACAGTTACTCCCACACACTCAAGCATGCATGCTCCGTGCACCTGTGTCTCTGCACCCTGCACCCTGCCCCCATCCCCATCCCCATCCCCATCTCCACCCATCCCCAGAACCAGGACAACATCACATTCGACCCTGGCTTCCTCTTCCCCAACGATGCATTCACTCGCCTCGCTCACGCCATGGCCCATGCCATGGGCGGCCCACACCGCTTTGACTACGTACATATCAGGCGGGGAGACAAGCTGAACGCCACACGCTGGCCTCACTTGGACCATGACACCCGGCCCGAAGCGTGAGTGCCCTGTTGAAGCCCTATTGAAGTTGCACCATTTCTGGTCTGAAGTGTGACTCTCATGTAGCTGGTCACAGCAGCACCGCTTCTTCCACCCTCACACACCCTATCCAGTGCAACACATCCCCCACTGAGTCGACTCACTGCTCCCTTGTTCTCTGCTCCCACTCTTGACCTCCCTGTGTCCCTTACTCTGCCTTGTCCCTCTCAAGCCAGCCTCCTACAGAAGCTCCCATCGCTCGTCCCACCAAACAGCACTCTCTACATCGCAACCAACGAAGCAGACCCCCACTTCTTCGATCCCCTCAAAACCGCATACACCGTGCACAGCCTAGCGGATTTTGCATCTCTCTGGGCCGAAGGGTCCCCGTGGGAAGGAGAGATGAGGGAGGTTGCGGCATCGGTGGGTGTGGCGGTGGGGGAGAGAGTGGAGTTTGACAGTGAGATGCAAGTTCTGGTGGATTATGCTTTGAAAAAGGTTGCGAGGCGGACAGTGGAGACGTTCAACGACCTCACGGATGATCCCAAGGACGGTGAGATGCGGTGGGGAGCGGTGGTATGCGTGGGGAGGCAGTGGGATGCAGTGGAGAGTGGTGAGATGCGGTTGTGAGTGGTGGGAAGGTGGTTGGGGGAATATGACAGTGAGATGCAGGCGCTGGTGGATTATGCTTTGAAAAAGGTTGCGAGGCGGACAGTGGAGACGTTCAACGACCTCACGGATGATCCCAAGGACGGTGAGATGCGGGTGCTGGTGGATTATGCTATCAAGAAGGTTGCGAGGCGGACGGTTGAGACGTTTGACGACCTGACTGATGATCCCAAGGACGGTGAGATGCGGTGCGGAAGGGTGGGGAGTGGTGAGGTGCGATGGAGAGTGGTGGAGAGGTGGTTGAATGCGGTGGGAAGCGGTGGGAGGGTGGATGGGGGAGTTTGACAGTGAGAAGCAGGTGCTGGTGGATTATGCGATCAAGAAGGCTGAGAGGCGGAAAGTGGAGACGTTTAACGACCTCACTGATGATCCCAGGGACGGTGACATTCGGTGGGGACTGGTGAGGGGGTAGTTAAATGCGGTGGGATGTGGTTGGGGGAGTTCGGCAGTGAGATGCAGATACTGGTGGACTATGCAATCAAGGAGGTTGCGTGGTGGACGGTGAAGATGTTTAACGACTTCACGGACAGTCCCATGGACGGTGAGATGCGGTGGGAAGCGGTGGAGAAGAGGAGAGAAGGTGGTGGGGGAGGTGGTGGGTCAGTATCATATCATGTCATCAAGTTGTGCTACCGTGCTCCACCGTGCTCTACCGTGCATTCTCTAGCTCTACTATGCATCATCTTGCTCTACCTTGCTCAACCTTGCTCTATGGTCCTCAACCTTGCTCAACCTTGCCGCATCTTGCTCTACCGTGCGTGCTCTACCATGCACAACCATTATGTACATTGTGCTATCTTGCTCTACCGTGACAAGACCCACCACGTGTACTTACTTTGTGCGCATGCTCCACAAGTCTTCTCTCTTTCTGTCGCTCGCCGTCCCCAAGCCAGTGGATTTCCCCTCTTCGTTCCTGCACCCCGTTGTGTTATCACCACTTCAACCATTCTTCCCACTGCAATTGCACTCCATGACCTTACCTAGCAGGTGTCGTGGGACCTTAAATCACGGGGGTTGACAGGAGCAACACAGCTGATCAGAGTTTAATGGCGTGGCCCACGAAGACGAAGTATTGTAACCTCTGCCTCTTTGTGTCTGTTGTATAACAAGCTTCGTAGCGATTGCGAGTTATAGAAAATGATGGGTATTGCATTGCTCTGACAAACTGGGGCTGGTGGTAAAGTCCTTCAGTTCTCTTGTTTTGCCATGTTTTGCTAGGAGGCGGGTGCACTTTTTGGTATACAGTGCAAAGGAAGTAGGCTGATACAGTGTAATTTATGTTTGCTGCTGCGAAATTGACGGCTGGGTTCTGACAGCCTGAAGGTCAAACGCGGTTTCCCTGGGTCCGAGCGGGGCAGGTCAGACCAGCAGTGTCGGGCAAGGGTCGCAATCTCCTGTCAACATGCGCCATTGTCCTCACCCTACGAATTTCAACTGCGCGAACCTCGGGAGCATCCCCGACCACACCTGTCGTTCGCGAAACGTTGTGGAGGAGTTTCGCCTTGGGAGAATTGCATTTCTGTGGTTGTAACGAGCGTCGCCATGAGTAGATCGGGTTTCGACGACAATCTTCGCCAAAACGGAACTTATGTTCCCACCCTTCCTGGCTGCAATTATTTGCTAGCAACTTTGCATCCTCAATACAATAATCGTCGTTCTTCAGCCAGCATAACAGCCACAATAGGCATCGTGAAGTCTGATTGTCAAGGAATTCTCGTTCCGAGTTTCATTATCCCTTGATTTGCGAGAATAGTAGCCGATCCCAATTCCTAGCTAGCTTCCATGGCTCAGTCACGACACCTCCACGAGCGTCGCGGTTTAGTGCTCTCCATCGCCGTCGCTTCGATTCTGGTACCATTAGCGCGCGCTCAACAGCGGTGCTCGAGCTCCACGCCGTGTGACCCGCCGAGCCTATGCTGCAGGTTAGTTTGAGACGTCTCACAAAGCGCTTGTTCTCTCGGAACACACATTCCGTTTCATCGACCACTTTTTACTTCCGCTCGGGACACGCATTCATTTTTACAACCCATCCACCTATCTCCCAAGATCATGTTTGCATTCGCGGCGGCCTCTCATCCTTTCGCCTTCTTTTGTTTCACCTCTCTTTCTCCCGCTCTCTCCTTGACCCTTTTTCCCCTGCCTCAAACCTGTGCCTTCAGCTCGGCTGGCTATTGCGGAACCAGTGACGCCTACTGCGGTACGGGATGTCAAAACGGGCTCTGCGGCTTTGGTGAGAACAATTCTGTTGATTTGAATGAACTAGATGATCTGGATCAATATGATGCATATTATTCAGAATATTGTTTAGACGAAATGCGGATAATTCAAACGAGTTAGGAAACTCAGTTACGACAATTCATGCAATTTTTTTGTGTTCTTTTGATAATCAGCGCGTCCTCGAAAGTAAAGTCCTCGTTAATATTTATTCCCCTCTTATCCTCCATGCATAGATGCATACACGCAGTAGTACATTCATGCATGTACACACCATGCATACATCCATGATGCGTGCACACAGTATCGCTACATCCATGCATTCACTCACAATGCCGCCGCGGCATTACTGTCCCTCACCAATGTCTTCCTTGTGTGATGCCAGCAACGACAACTCAACAGTTCTGCTCAAGCTCAACGCCCTGTAGCACACACTGCGCATACGCATTCATTCACTTACTATGCCACCTTACTGAATATCCCCTTCGTCTGTCTCCCTCTTTGATTCCAGCAACGACAACTCAACAGTTCTGCTCAAGCTCCTCGCCGTGTAACCCGCCAAGCCTATGCTGCAGGTCAGTTCAGCTCTTGAGAAGTCTCACAACCTGAACCTATGCTGCAGGTCACTTTGAGTCTTGAAAGTCTCAACTTGAACCTATGCTGCATGTCACTTTGAGTCTTGAAAGTCTCACAATGCTGCAGGTCTGTTTGAGACGTCTCACAATGCTGCAGGTCTGTTTGAGACGTCCCACAATGCTGCAGGTCTGTTTGAGACGTCCCACAACCCGAGCCTATCATGCTGCTGGTCTGCTCGCCGTCGCTCCTCTCAACCTGCCTATTCCTGTCATGTCTTGCCGTTGGAACACATTTTCTTCATCTACCTACCGGTTCCAAGGACTCGCATCCCTTCCCCTTCTTTTCTTTCACCTCCCTTCCCGCTCTTTTCTTCACCCTGGTTTCCCTGCCTCCTTCCTCACCCTGTTTTCTCCGGCATCCTTCCTCACCCTCTTTCTCCCGCCTCCTTCCTCGCCCTCTTTTTCCCGCAGCCAGTATGGCTGGTGTGGAAGCAACGACTCCTACTGCGGCGCAGGATGCCAGAACGGGCCGTGCTCTGGTGAGGGCGACTGCGATGACTGAGATGTTTCAAAAGGATTATCCGGATAGTTCAAATGATTCACTTCAGGTGACTAGGGTGATTTGGGCGATTTCAGTAGTTCGGCTCGAATAATTTCACTTCGCCACTCCTCCACCTTCCCCCCACCTCACCTCTGCCTTTTCCCCATCTCATCTTCCATCACATCCTCCTTTTCCCCACTCACCCTTTCCCCCACCTCGTCCTCCCTACTCCTCCGTTTTCCCCACCAGCCAGCTCAGGAGGAAAATCCTCTGTATCCACGGGGGTGATCGTGGGGGTGGTGGTGGGAGTGCTGCTGCTGCTGCTGGGAGTGGTGCTAGTAGCGGCGTTCTGGTATCAAAGAAGGCGCAGGGCCGAGGCAGCAGCAAATCAAGGAGCCACAGATGAAGGTAAATGAAGGCGTGAAAGGGGGTTTATGAATTTGCGTGGGGGCTTATGCCACTTTTCCTTAGCAACATGCTAACTTGCCTTGCCACCCCTCCTCATCTGTTTCTATCCCTCTCAAACCGCCGTCCCTGTACCTGGTCCTGTCACTTCTGTACCATTCCCCCAGAATCAGCAAAAGCAGGAGTAGCACCACCAGGAGGAGCAGCTACAGCAGCAGTAGCACCAGCTCCAGCAGCTTCAGGAGCGGGGATACGTGGGCCCATGCAATGCCAAAGCTATTCCTTGGCTGACGTCCTGTGGGCAACAAACAACTGGGCTGAGGCGAATAAGATTGGCAGCGGTGGGTTTGGGGACGTGTACAAGGGAGTGTCACCCCATGACCCTTCGGTGCTGTGGGCTGTAAAGCGTGCCACTGTATTCACCACCGATGATTTCCGTCGAGAGGTACGTGGTGTGGTGCGGTGCGGTGTGGTGCGGTGTGGTGCAGTGTCGCGCAGTGTGGTGAGGTGCGGTGCGGTGTGATGTTACGGGGTGGGGTGTGCCACCTAGCTAGGTTGCATGCTATCCAAGGATTGGCAGCGGCAGGTTTGGGGACGTGTTCAAGGGAGTGTCGCCGCATGACCCATCGGTGCTGTGGGCTGTGAAGCGCGCCACTGTATTCACCACTTAACGATTTTCCCCGCGAGGTAAGGAAGGAGATTGGTGGTTATCGTAGGAGTGCAGTGCGGTGCAGTGCAGTGCAGTGCAGTGCAGTGCAGTGGAGTGGAGTGGGGTGGAGTGGAGTGGAGTGGAGTGGAGTGGAGTGCAGGGGTGTGGTACAGCCGTGTCTGTCGCCCCACGACCCATCGGTGCTGTGGGCTGTGAAGCGAGCCACTGTATTCACGACTGACGACTTTCGCCGGGAGATGAATATTTTCACTCGTGAACACGTGTCTTTCGCCAACTGTGCGCGGTGCGGTGCAGTGTAGTGCAATGTGGTGCGGTGCAGTGTGGTGTGGTGTGATGGGTGTACCACTTAGCCAGTGCGCATATTATCGAAGATCTGGCAGCCGCAGTTTCAGGGGCGTGTTCAAGGATGTGTCGCCCCACGACCCGCCCCCCTCCCTTCCCCGATCTCCCCTCCCACCCCCTTCCTCCCCCCGTTCCTCCTTCCTCCCTATCTCCACGTCAGGTCGAAGAGATGGCATCAAAGAATCACGCCAATCTCGTGTATATTTTCAAGGCGTATATAAAAATACTCCTCCTTCCTCCCCACCATCCCTTTCCTCCCCCCTCCCCCCTCCAATTGCCACGTCAGGTGGAGGAGATGGCATCAAAGAATCACGTCAATCTCGTTCGCCTCTTAGGCTACTGCAGCCACATGGACGCGACAACTGGAGGAATAGAGCAGATTCTCATCTATGAGTACATGCACAATGGTGACCTCGAAGGATGGATCGGACCAGGTGGGTTGTGAGTTTACTAGTAGAGAACTTGTGGCAACTGGAGGCATAGAGCAGATTCTCATCTATGAGTACATGAACCATGGCGACCTCGAGAAGTGGATCGGACCAGGTGGGTTCTGAGTCGACTTACAAGGCAACTCGTGATGGCTGGGAGCATGGCTGGGGCCATGGAGCAGATTCTCATCTATGAGTACATACACAACGGTGACCTGGAAGGGTGGGTCGGACCAGAGAGGCAAAAGCGGGCATAGAGCAGATTCTCATCTTTGAGTTCATGCACAACGGCGACCTCGAGAGATGGATCGGCCCAGGTGGGTGCTTGAATGGGATGCGTTGATACCCTGATTGGATGATGATCCCCAGAGCAATGCTGCTCGTCCGTCCATTTCCGGACCTTGTTTTGTGACTCTCTGGCGTTTGCCGTAGGTTTGTTTTTTCCACATTATATAGCAATCCTAGCTTTCACTCCGTGACCTCCCAACGCAACAACCGCACCACCAGGTGTGGCTGTTCCTCTGAACCTGCAGCAGCGCTTTGACGTGCTTATTGGGCCGGGTCAGGGCGTTCAGTATCTTCACAGCTTCAGCACCCATTCCCACGCCCCTCACTTCTGATTTTATCTCCCTGAACCTGCCACCACAACCACCACCAGGAGTGAAAGTGCCTCTGACTCTACGGCAGCGCTTTGACGTGCTCATAGGGGCGGCCCAGGGCTTGCAGTACCTACACAGCTTCAACATCGTGCATCGCGATATCAAGCCCGCCAACATCCTGCTTGACCAAAACATGCAGGTGAGCTTGTTCTGAGTGTTCCTTTCTTTGTAACCTTCATCGTGGGAGAGAGTACCTCCACAGCTTCAACATCGTGCATCGCGATATCAAGCCCACGAATAATTTGCTTGACTAACACATGCAAATACATCTATGTGTGCATTTATTCATTAATGGTTGCACGTATGACACCACTCTCTTGATAACAACTTACCTGCCTCTGTTCACGATTCTCGATATTTTTTTTCTTCGACCATCTCGTATCCCAAATTCACTACTTACCCTCATCGCCCTCCTCCTTCCCTTTATTGCATGCAAGTACTGGCCCTCTTTCTCGTCTCCGCCGCCCCCTCTCTTTCCCCCACTCTCCAGCCGAAGGTTGCCGACTTTGGGCTCGTGCGGATAAGCAAACCAAGCTTGTTGCTTCGCTCTCCTCACTCTCTCCATCTCTCTCTCTCTCTCTCTCTCTCTCTCTCTCTCTCTCTCTCTCTCTCTCTCTCTCTCTCTCTCTCTCTCTCTCCGCCTCCCTCTCCCGCCCTTCTCCAGGCCAAGGTAGCTGACTTTGGGTTGGTGCGGATAAGCAAAGGCACTACTGTTGGAGCAACGCGGGTGATGGGAACAATAGGCTATGTGGACCCTGCATACTCGTGGACACAGAAGGCCACTCCTGCAGCAGACGTGTACAGGTGAGGCACAGCAATGAGTGAAATGCTGATAGCACTGGTGAGTGCTACAGGTGGGTTCAGGGGTGATAAGAACAATCGGCTATGTGGACCCTGCATACTCGTGGACACAGAAGGCCACTCCTGCAGCAGACGTGTACAGGTGAGAGAAGGCACGAGTTCGTGCTAATTTCCATCATTGCACACCATCATTGCACACATGCCTGTGCCCGTCTAGTGGTGCTGTTGGTCGTCACAGCACGCAAGGGTGTGCATTGCTTGGCGACAATCAAACATGACAGTCAATCCCATGCCACACTGCCATTCAAGAGCTGCTGTGCCATGCCTGTGCCTTTTGTGCTTGTCCCGTGTCCCTCACAGCTTTGGAGTGGTGATGCTGTCAGTCGTTACTGCATGCAAAGGAGTGGTCCACTTGGCAGGCCACACAGCCGTGAATTCCCTGGAGGACAACCGGATGACGCTCACTGATTGGGTGAGTCTGCTATTGGGAAAGGATTAAAGAAACGATGGTTGATTGATAAACAGATAGAAATCGACGAATTGATCAACGGATGACAAAAATATATGATTTGTGTGCTCGCTGCAGGAAATGGAAGCACAGGGTGATTGAGCAAGATTGTGAGAGGTGTCTACATGGGTGCAGGCAGATTGATCCCTTACAAAAAGAGAAAAAATGTTACGAAACATTCTTTTAACAAAACAAGTAGATGCTGGAAAGTCGAGATCTTGGCAAACATTTTGACTACCCTCTTGAATCTCTTGTGCCTCTTGTATCCCTCCTCCCCTCGTTGGATTCTCCCCTTCCAGGAGCAACCCCTAGTGGGTGCAGGGAATGCATACGTGATCATGGCGTGCTCATTGGTTGCAGACAGGGTCTATTACCCTTGTGTGTCTTCCCCCATCCAGGTGCCACCTCTAGTGGGCGCAGGGAATGCTTACACCATCAAGGACCCGCGTCTAGACGCCCCCAGACACGTCATCGTCTCCTGCCACTTATGCCTTTTGTATCACTTCTGTCTCTCCCACCTTCTCATCCCTCACCCCACCCCTCCAGGTGAAACCCCTAGTAGACGCAGAGAACGCAGACACCATCAAGGACCCCCGTCTAGACGCCCCAAGCCACATCATCCTCCGCATCGCCCGTTTCGCCCTCTCCTGCACCACCATGCCCGTGACCAACCGCCCCACCATGGCCCGTATTGTTTCCGAGCTTATGGCTATGAAAGAGGAGTGCTTTGGGCCAGATACCGACCCAGTGTTGCAGAATGTGGACCGGGATTTGGAGGACATGCGGGTCTCGAGCTTCTCCCAGGAGCTTCGGAGAGCGAGCCGTGCTTCCGAACGGGAAGGATCGGGTTTTAGTAGTACGATGGGGTCGATTGGGGAAAATGCGGGCTTTAGGTAGATTTCATGGATGAGTGCTCTGCGTTGTAAAACTGAGTTTAATAATGGAATTTGGCCCGGTAGAAGGCCGTACGTAACGGGACTGAACCAAAGAATCATAAGGTGAGATTGAAGGAAGGTACCGTAAGGTGTTTGCCCTCGCGATGGGCATGTTGCAGCTATGCTGAGATATGCCCCTCGTGAGGTAATCAAGGTACCAAAGCCATACATGTTGAACCATCAGGACTGCGTGAGGTAATCAAGGTACACCTAGACATCGTACACAAGTGCAATACGTTATTTATCGTTACATTCTCCACACCTAGTACAAATTGTAATGGGGAACGAGGGCGACAATAAAGGGGTTGACGAAGACACTGCTCAACGACACATGAAACAACGCGTCGAATGTTTCGCATGCCTCCCATTTACAAAATGAACCTTGTAACTTTTTGGTCTCGTCTGTTTTTCGCAACCCTCTTTCCAGTGCTGGTCCGCATCTGGTTGGAGATGCTGCTTCGAAGACGGTCCGCGAACCGTTCGACGGGTTTCCGCATGCTTCTTGTCGGACCAGAAAAGAAGTCAGGGGACCCGTTTCGGGCTTCGGGCTGACGAGCCCGACCCGTTCCGGGAAAACCAGTGTGCGACACTCTTGCGCTTCGCGAGGCTGGTAGCATCCGCCCAACTGCCATCGTTGGTTTTGGTGTCTGTGCTGGTGGATTACAAATTTCGCCGCAGGGGCCGAGGCGAAGCATCTTGCCACTGTCAATTCGGACTTCGTTCGCAGCGGTTACCAGATAGAGTCTAGGTACGTGCCGTAGCCGCAACTCATATCCCCCCCGTGATATCACCACCACCATGCGAGTCGCCAACTACAATAATGGTCGTCATGCTTTGTAGTCACCAACAACGATAATGGTCGTTTTTCACAAAGCACACACGGCAGAAACCGCTAAATAGTACGGATTCTCGTCATACATCTCATTCTCATCTGCACGCGTCGCTGGTTCTCAGTGTCATTATTATTACAGCGGATAGCGATCCCTTCGCTAGTTTCCATGGCTCCTCAGTGGCGCCTCCACAACACGAGCGTGCTTCGCGCTTCCGGCACCTTATTTCTCTTCATCGCCATCGCATTGTTTCTGATGCCAGTAGCGCGCGCTCAACAATGCTCGAGCTCTTCGCCGTGCAACCCGCCGAGCCTGTGCTGCAGGTTAGTTTGAGCCGTCGTACAACCCGAACCTATCATGGTGCAGGCCCGTCATGAGAGTTTTTTACAAACTTCGGAGTTCGCTCAACAAGGTTCGAGATCACAGCCGTGTGATTCGCCGATCTTATATTCTTGCAGGTCGTCAAGATTCTTTAAAAATCCGCGCTCCTCCTTCCTGTCGTTTCATGCATTCAAAAGACGCCGTTTCCGGTCGTTTCGTGCTTTCAGAGCAGCAGATTTTTTCATCCTCACAAATTTGATTACATGACACACACACTTTCCCTTGCGCCTGCCTCTTCCCTCACCCTTTTTTGTCCGCAGCCAGTATGGCTGGTGTGGAAGCAACGACTCCTACTGCGGCGCGGGATGTCAGAACGGGCCGTGCACTGGTGAGGCTGGTTTAAATGATTCAGACAATTCAGACGCTTTAATTTATCTGGATATTGTAGAATATCTGGAGATTCTGACAAGTTGGTTGATTTATTAGGACGATTCGGGTACTTAGAATCCGCCTGCATAGGCACGGGCGCGGCTCCCGTTCATCGCTCACTATCCTTTCACACATTTTCATTCCCGTGCACAGCCACAGGAGGCACCGGCTCATCTTCCTTCCGCCGCATCACCTACTTCCCCAACTGGAGCGGCATCGACCCCAGCACCATCCAAGTGAACCACTTCACTCACATCGTCTACGCCTTCGCTGCCATCAGCCCCGATAATTACACTGTAAGCACTAGCACTCCTACTCACGCTCTCTCCCCCACGCTCTCTCCCTCAAACGCTCTCCCTCGTGCTGTCGCCTCTTCGTGCTCTCTCACACTCTCTCCCTCGCACTCTCTCCTTTATGCTCTCTCCATCATGCTGTCTGCTTTCGTGCTCTCTCCTCACACTCTCTCCATCACGCCTCCTCCCTCGTGCTCTGTTCCCCGTATACTGCCACGGCCTTGACAATAGCATCACTGCAGCCGTTGGCTCCCCGCAGCAATCAAGACCAAAATCAATTGGTCGCCCCTTTTTCTCTTCATTTCGCTTTCCGCCTTTCCTCCCATCCAGGTGGTGCCCTCTGATTGGTGGACAGACGTCTCTGGCGGGCTCTACAAGCGCTTCACAGCAGCCATCAAGGCCAAGAACCCCGCTGTCAAGCCAATTCTCTCCATCGGCGGCGGTGACGCTGTCAGTGCACCGCGTTTCTCTTACGTTTCAGCTACTCAAGCACGGCGCTCGAAGTTTATCAACTCGGCGATTGCTCTAGCAAGGAAGTATGGGTTTCAGGGGATTGACATAGATTGGGAGACTCCAAAGGGTGTTCCAGCGCGCTTTTCAGCACTGATTCAAGATTTCCGGGCAGCTATTGATGCTGAAGCTGCCCAGACAGGTCGGGAGAAGCTCACGCTGTCAGCAGCTGTGCCGGGGTATACGGGGGAGATAGACTCCAGCTTCCATATCCCAACACTTAACAAAGTGCTGGACTGGGTGGGAATCATGACATATGACATGCATGGGGAGTGGGAAGCAGAGACTGGAGAACACACAGCCCTGGAGGACAAGAAAAACCCATTGGCAAGCATTAAGGGGTCTGTGCCAGTTTTTGTTGCCAAGGGATTGGCACGAAGTAAGCTGGTGCTGGGTCTGGCATCGTATGGTCATTCGTGGACTCTTCAGAATGCTGTTAATCATGGGGTCGGCGTGCCTGCTAAAGGAGGTCCTACTATGAGCTACAAGGAGATAGTCACGTTCATCGCGAATGGTGCTACGCCTGTGTTTCATTCCCCCACTTCGTCTATGTATGCTTACAAGGGGACGAAGTGGGTGGGGTACGACAATCCGGAGACAATTGCAATGAAGGTAAAATATGCTAAGCAACAAGGGCTGGGTGGTTACATGTTCTGGTCATTTGATCAAGACAATGTATATAGTTTAGCCAAGGCCGCTGCTTCAATGGTTTAGGGTTACTCATCACATGAGCTGGTCTTTCTTATATATAATTGTAATGATGGTGTTTTAGAAACGGTTGTCGTTTTGAAGTCAGTCTGGACGCCCTGAATCGGGTTTGAATGACTAGAGGCTTTTGGGAGCTACCATGGCTCCGATGAATTTGATTCTTCACGAGCCCCCAGGCCTCAATTGCGCATCCACGCCTGTGCGAGGAACATGAGGTTCGCTAACACGCGAAACCACAGCTGGACTTGATTCTGACGAACGTCGTCAAAGGTACAAAGGGCTTTCGATGAAAACCGTTACCAGATTGAGTTCGACACCCTTCCCGAAACCACAACTCACGTCCCATAGCGAGGATATCAAGAACCAAAGTAATAGCAGCGATTCCAGATTTGCCTTCGTCTCAGGCAAGGCAACTCAAGAAGCTACGGTATAACAGGCACCGTGGATTCTTTGTTACTTCTGGTTTTTGTCACGAGTTTCGGTGTCTCCGGTGCAGCGACAACAGCAGCAACCATTAGCATTCACTAGCTCGCTTCCATGGCTCCTTCATGGCGCTTTCGTAAGAGCGAGCTTCGCGTCACAGCCGCCGTACTACTCTCCATCGCCATCGCTTTGACTTTAATACCCACCGCGCGATCTCAACAATGCTCGAGCTCCTCGCCGTGCAATCCGCCGAGCCTGTGCTGCAGGTCCGTTTTGAAACGCTCACAACCCGAGCCTAGGCTTTCACGCTGCCGGTCAGCTGACGACGTTCCTCTCGTTGCTCCTTCCTGTCGTTTAATGCTTCAGAACACGCCCTTCTGCGCCATGGTGCTTTCACAGCACTTTTCAACAACCAGTTTCTAAAATTCTGGGAGGTCTCATAACTCTGCTTCCAGAACACAGACTCACTATCATCTAAGCCCGTCGGTTTATCTGGCAAACGCTTTCTGTCAGTTATACGAGTTTGGGTTCACAGCCATACCCTCCCTCATCGCACTCTCTCGCGTCAACCGCGGTACCATCCGCCCTGTCTCTTCGCCCCCCGCCTCTCGTTACTGCGCTTGCCGTCGCCCTCTTGGTTGTTCCGCAGCAAGTGGGGCTGGTGTGGAAGCAACTCCTCCTACTGCGGTGCGGGATGCAAGAACGGGCCATGCTCAGGTGAGCATAATTTAGATAGTTGAGATATTCTTGGTTGTTCATATGATTCGTTTATGATTCGGGTGATTAATATTTTTCAGGTTATTTATATGATCTAGGTGATTCAGGTGGTTTTGCCTTACTGAGCATCATCCCATTTCATCAATGCACATGCTATCCGCCGTATGCTCCATGCATACATGCATGCGCACTCACATGCATGCACGCATACCAACACTGACTTAAACAGCATTCTCATCTACTCTTCTTCTTGCACGGGCACAGCTTCATATTGCCATGTCACCTACTACCCTAACTGGAGCAGCGTCGGCTCAAGCACCTCTTCATCATGACCCCATATGCGCCCACCCCTATGCTCACGCCCCTTTGCTCACGTCCCTATGCCCACACCCCTATGCTCCCACCCTATTTTCCCACCCCTATGCTCCCACCCCTATGATCCCACCCTATTGCTCACACCCCTCGCCCTGCACATACAGCTTCCTTTCGCCGCATCACCTACTTCCCCAACTGGAGCGGCATCGACCCCAGCACCTTCCAAGTGAACCACTTCACTCATATCGTCTACGCCTTTGCTGCCATCAGCCCTGTCAATTACACTGTAAGATTCCCCAGCTCTTTGATTCATGCACCTCATTCTCCCATTTGCTCATTCATTCGTGCTTTCCTGGCGCCATACCACTCTGCTTCATCGGTCAGCAGCACTTGCTTCCTCCCTTTCCTCCCATCCAGGTGGTGCCCTATGAGTGGTGGACGGACATCTATCATGGCCTCTACACCCGCTTCACCGCAGCCATCAAAGTCACAAAACTCGCTGCCAAGCCATTCCTTGCCTTTCTCTCCTCGTCCTTGTTCTCTTCTTTCCACCCATCAAGGTGGTGCCCTATGAGTGGTCGAAAAACGTCTAGCACGGCCTCTACACCCGTTTCTCTGCAACTATTCAGGCCAAAAACCACCCAAAAAAAAAAACCCTAGTTCTCTCTTCATTATTGTTTCCTCCTTTCTCTCGTTCTTTCCCCATTTCCTCCCATCTAGGTGGTGCCATATGAGTGGTGGACGGACATCTATCACGGCCTGTACACCCGCTTCACAGCAGCCATCAAGGCCAAAAACCCAGCAGTCAAGTCAGTTCTCTCCATCGGGGGTGGTGATGCTGTCAGCGCACCGCGGTTCTCGTATGTGTCAGCTACTAAAGCACGCCGCAAAAAGTTTATAAACTCGGGAATTGCGTTGGTGAGAAAGTATGGGTTTCAGGGGATTGACATTGATTGGGAGCTTCCAAAGGGGGTCCCGGGTCGGTTTTCAGCTTTGATTTCCGATTTTCGGGCAGCAATTGATGCCGAAGCTGCCCGAACACGTCGTGCGAAGCTCACGTTGTCGGCTGCTGTGACAGGGTATGCGGGGGAGATAGATTCCTGCTACCAGATGCCGACGCTTAACAAAGTGCTAGACTGGGTGGGAATAATGACGTATGAGTTCCACGGGGAGTGGGACGACGTGACTGCGCAGCACACTGCTCTGGAAGATAAGAAAAACCCGCTTCTAAGCATCAAAGGCGCCGTTGCAGGTTTTATCGCCAAGGGTTTGTCAAGAAGTAAGCTGGTGCTGGGTCTAGCATCTTATGGCCATGTGTGGACACTCACGACTGCTGCAAACCATGGTGTTGGGGCACCTGCTAAGGGAGGTCCCACTATGAGCTACAATGACATTGTGAAGTTCATCACGGGTGGAGCTACAGCTGCATTCGATTCACCATCTTCGTCGATGTATGGTTATAAAGGGACCACATGGGTAGGGTATGACAATCCTGACACAATTGCCAAAAAGGTGCAGTATGCCAAGCAGCAAGGGTTGGGAGGTTACATGTTCTGGTCTTTTGATCAAGATTATGGATATAGTTTAGCCAAGGCTGCTGCTACAGCAGCTTCGACCTAGTTAACATTCAATTATGTTTTCATAGCAAATGCAATAGTGGCAGTAATTGTTTCTCTTTCACTAGCTCATCTATTTAGTGCATTTTATGATTTCCTCACTTATCTTTCTGCAAAATTGGTGCGGTTCCGTGAACTCGAGTGCAGCTATCACGAGCAGTAGCGGACCACGAGCAGTAGCGAAGGGACCGGGAACAAAACAGCCGAACTGAACGGCCTTCGAGAGTCGTCTATCATCGAGGGCTGACAGGCGATGTCAATGTTTGGCAGGAGATCGGACGGCGATTAGGGACCCTACTGCCGCGCGGGTGCAATTATGCAATCCCGAGGCTACTATTGAGTTGAGGCCCAATACCAGCTAGGTAAAACTACTTAGTGACCATTATTTGTACTTTTCCCACTGACTCGCCGTTGGTGTGTGCCTCTTTTCTGGAACACGTTTTCCAGAGCTGCGTTCTGTTTCTGCGTCGCTGTGGCATTTCCCCAGAGTAGTTAGCTGTGTCTATTCAGGCTTCGTGCTACGCCATAGCGGGAGCGGAACTCGCGGAAACAGTTTTTGCGGGAAACTTTGAGTTTGGCTCGTTGGGAGAGGTCGTATCTAGGGTGTTCGGCCAGAAACATCCGCACGCAGAGCGCGCGAGCGAGCAGGTTGTCAAGCAAGCGAGCTACTTAACCAGATGAGAATGAAGAGACGGATTCGTCCGTGTTTGAGACGGCGGAGACGTTAGTTAGCATATGCTTGTAATGAGACACGCACAGGACATGGCGCCGTGACGAAGAGCAGCCCAGATTAGCCCAGGGTGGTCCAGGGACGCATGCCGCTAGTGAGGCGCACTGGCACGCCAATAAGCTCGTAAGCTCATAAGCCGACCAAAATAGGTCATAAGTAGATTATACGTAGGACATAAGGCGGCCATAAGCAGGCCATAAGCAGCCTGCACTAGCAGACCAATGGGATTCGGCCAAAGCCCTGGGAGCGCAAGCACCAGTTCTGGCAGCAATGCCAGTAACGGGGACCGCGGCAGCGTTTCGTTCGTCGGCAGCGGGGGAGTCTCTTTTTTCAAGTCTTTATTCGACACGTCTCAAAAAGCGGCTACTAAGACGGTAGTGGTAGAGGACGGCGACACGCTGTGGGACCTCTCCGTGAAATTCGGCGTGGATTGCGAGCAGCTGCAGGCGTTTAACAAGCTGACATCAGACACTATTTACTCCGGGGACGTCCTTAATATCCCCGTCCCCCCCGCGCGCGTGTCCCTTTCTGAGACGCCGCAAAACTCTGCCGGAAACGCCTCCGCGCGCGTGTCCCTTTCCGCGCCCCCCCTCCTGACCCCCGCGCAATCAACCGCTTCCCCTTCCCCCACGTCCTCCGCCTACCGAGAAGAGTCTCCGCAGCCATGCTTACGCGTCAGCACCACCGCCACCTCCACCGCCAACTCCGCGGACGACAGCAGCCCAAAGGACCTTCGCGACAGCAGCGGGAGTAGCGGGAGCGCTGGAAGCGGCAGCGGGAGCGCTGGAATCAGCAGCGGGAGCAGCAGCAGCAGTGGGAGCGCGGGGAGCGGCGGGAGCAGCGGGAGGGGCGAGAGCAGCGGGAGCGGCGCAAATGCCTCGACTTCTAGCAAAAAACAGATTAAGACCAAGTCAGTCCTAGTCCGCGAAGGCGACACGGCGTGGGACATCTCCCTGCGCTTCGGGCTCACTCTAGACGAGCTACTATCTCTTAACGCGAGCATCCCCGACCCGCTATACCCCGGCGACGAGCTGCTGTTGCCTGCAGACGCGGTGGAGAGGCCTCGCGCGCTGATAGCGCTGACAGGCGTTAAGGCGAAGGTGAAGGGGACGATGCGCAATGCCAACTTCTGGGACGTGTTCCCGCCGCCCAGGAGTGAGTTGGGTGGGGTGGGATGTGGGGAAATGGGAGTGGGTGGTCTGATGTACTGCTGCTTTGGGTCGTGGTGGTGGTGGTGGTGGTGATGGTGGTAGTGGTGGCGCTGGTGGCGCTGACAGGCGTGAAGGCGAAGGGAGAAGGCACGATGCGGAACGCCAACTTCTGGGCGTGTTCCCGCCGCCCAGGAGTGAGTTGCTGTGGGGGGTGGGACGTGGGGAGGGTGGGAGTGGGTGGGTCGATGTGCCACTGCTGCTCACGCGCTGATGGCGCTGACAGGCGTGATAGCGAAGGTGAAAGGCACGATGCGCAATGCAAACTTCTGGGGCGTGTTCCTGCCTCCCAGGAGTGAGTGGGGAAGGAATAGAGGGTGATGTGGCGCAGGTGGGAGTGGGCAGGTTGGATTGGGTGGGTCAGACGCGGTGGAGAGGCCGCGCGCGCTGATAGCGCTGACAGGCGTGAAGGCGAAGGTGAAGGGGACGATGCGCAATGCCAACTTCTGGGACGTGTTCCCGCCGCCCAGGAGTGAGGTGAGGGGAAGAGAGGTGGGGGAAAGGTTGGGGGAAAAGGAAGGCGGGGAAGGTGGGGAAGGCGGGTGGTTGGGGAGTGGATGGGTGGGTCAGACTACATGCTGAGTGATGAGCCCTCTGTACCCCGCTCCCCGTCCGCCTGCGCAAAATCCCCACTGCAAGCGTTACTGGGTGCTGCTGCTACCTTCCTTCCTTCCTCTCTTACAACGTTGCATGTTTAAGAAAGTAATCTGTCTGTCCTCGATCATTCGCATACTATATTCCTCCCTCTTACAGGCGTTGGCGCCTAGCACAGCGTTACCAAGTGCTGCTGTATGCCATGAGATACGTGGAGACGAGCTGCATTGAACTCACGAGTCAGCGTTTTCCTTTGTCTTTCCCCTTCCACCTGTCAATCCACCCTTTTACTCTTCCTATCACCCCTGCCACAGACATTGATTCCTACCGCAAGCGATACCGAGTGCTGCTGGATGCAATGAGATACGCGGAGACCAGCTTCATTGAACCCTCTCGTCCATTGCCTTCCCCGTCCTCACTCTTGCATACATTCTTCCCTCCCACAGACATCGACGCCTACCGCAAGCGCTACAGCGTGCTGCTGTACGCGATGGGAAACGCTGTTATGTTGTTACCAGCTTCATGGGACCCACTCGTCTGTCCCCTTCCACGTCCGTCCCCTTCCCTGTCCTCCCTCCCGCAGACATCGATTCCTACCGCAAGCGCTACCGAGTGCTGCTGGATGCGATGAGATACGTGGAGACCAGCTTTATTGAACCAGCCCCTGTGGGGGATGACGGGTTATCCATCGGGCCACTGCAGATCAGGTATGTGTGCGTGCATGCGTGCGCACGTACATGCACATGCACATGCTCATGCACATGTGAGGTGAAGAATGAGTGCTGCTGGATGCCATGAGATACGTGGAGACCAGCTTCATTGAACCTGCCCCTCTGGGAGATGACGGCTATCCATCGGCCCACTGCGGATCAGGTATGTGAACGCTTGAACTTGCACACGTGCATTCTATTTCATACTTTACATGCTCATGCGTGGAGAACAGCACTACCCGCTGCTTCCCCTGAATCCCTCCTTCCACCTGCATGTGTTTAATCGAGTCTCTCCCCATATCCTTCCCACTGCCCTCTTTCTTCCTTCTACCTCTTTCCCCCGGCTCTTTCTTCGTCTCCCCCCTCCCAGCAACGACTATCACACAGACGCATGGTGGTTAGAGCACCACACGTCGCGGCCTAAATATCTTCTCCCCCCATCCCCCCCCTTCCCCTGTCACCCCATTCCCTCCCCCCTCTCCCCCCCTGCAGCAACGACTACCACACGGACGCCTGGTGGTTGGAGCACCGCCCGCCGCTGTGCTACGAGGACTGCCATTGGTCGGTGGAGCACAGCGAGCGCACCGTCATCAACTACTGGCTGCGCTACTGCCCCTGGTCCCTCGAATTTAACGACCATGAGACGCTTGCCCGCACGCACAATGGGGGCCCGGGGTTCTACCGATACATCAAGACCGCCACTTACTGGTGAGTGTCTAGAGTTTGGGGTTCAGGTTTAAGGTTCAGGATTCCATGTGCATAGCGTCAACTACTGGCTGTGGTACTGCCACTGGTTCTGTGAATTTAACAACCATGAGACCCTCGACCGCACGCACAATGGCGGATCAGGGTTTCACCGATACATCAAGACCGAACTTACTGGTGAGGTTTCGAATTTGGTTGTAAGTTCCGGGTTTATGGCTCAAAGCGTAGGGTCAACTACTGGCTGCGCTTCTTTGCCTTAAGCGTCCACATGTGTAAGGCGCCTCTGAAACCTCACGCTCTCCCGTCTTCTCCTTCTGCTGATAAGCGTATTTCCGCTCCCAAATACCTGCTGCATTTACAGGCGAAAGGTGAAGAGTGCGATGCGGCATGCTGGGTGGTTTCGAGTAATGCCTGAGTTTGACCCGCACCTATCATCAGCGCACTTGCATCCTCACGGCATTCTTCCGTTGTTCCAGAAACATTTTCCCCTCTCCATCGCCATGTTGGAACCCCAGCCTCATTCAGGAATTTATCAAATCTAGGAACATCGATATATGTATATGTATCAAGAGTATAATTTGTAGCAACGTTTCGCCGATAAGGGTGTGTAAAATCGCCGATCCCAGAAATTCGGCCACCATCCGTCGGCCATTTTGGCGAGGGTACCCATTTGAACCCCTAAGTACCAAGCTGTCTTGTACCCGAACCCCTAAGTACCCTGATGGCCGACAATCCGTCCATTAGCAAATTTCACACGCCCTAAGGGGCACAATTACCACATGCAAAGTATGTGTGTTTGCGGAGCACACTATGTGGTGCTTTCTTCGTCAACGGTCGCGTACACTGTCGGTTGGTAGGCAGCGCCAGTCACCGCTGCGATGCGACGGACTTCAATCCAGCAAGCGACAAATAAAACAGTCGACCATCCCGCAACGAGTCGCTCGGCGATACGAACTACCGCCGCAGGCATCCCCCCTCGTCTTCCCCGCCTCCCACCCAACGCGTTTCCTCGCCCGTCCGTGCGACAGCGGAATTCCCGGTGGCGGTGGGGTGCGAGATTCCAGAAATTCACGAAATTTGCTGGTTAGCGAAAGCGCGGCATGGGCTTGTGCGCCTGCTCCAAAAATGAAAGAATTTGCACATTCAAGTTCAATCCATCAATTCATTCCCTCCAGTTCAGTCCATCCGGCCCAATTCAACCCATCAAACCCAGTTCATCAAGCGTGAACCCGCACGGCACTGGACGTCGACCAGTCCATCGTCTCACTTCTCTTCAGCTCCGTCACTTATTCTCGTATTCTTAGTCTCTATCGGTTCCGTCATCTAGCTAGTCCCTCCATTGTTTGTCAAAGTTTGAAAAGTCGCACTTGCTTAAAACCCATTTCTCTTCCTCAGTCCGAACAATGGCTGCGATTCATCGCTTTGCCGTGCTGCTGCTAGCCGTAGTCGCGGTATGCCACGTCAGCCACGTGTCAGCACTCAACCCCGGGGAAGTGGGGAGAGCCATTGACTTCATCGGAAAGCGGCCGGAATACAAGGCAATCTTCAAATTCGTAGACGACTATTGTACGTTGCGCTCCGCTCAATCTCACTCAGCCTCTCTCAACCTCAAAGCACGACCCGTAACTCTCTCCATTTCTGCCACCTTTGTCGAGAGTCTCACTTTGCCGTTCTTGCCATGGCGAAATCCGTCAGAGATTGGTTGAACTCGACACTTTAATTTCTAACGCTCAACTGCTTATGTTTACATCTTGTGTCCCAACCCAACCCAATTTCTTCCCACCAGTGAAATCTCTCATTCCGCTGACCGACCTGACCGTTCTGCTGCCCGCGAACATCGCACTGCTTCGCAACTACACCAAGGACGAGCAGACGACGATTCTGTCGTACAACACCATCGCCACGCGCTACCTCTTCCGCAACCTCACCGGCTTGCCGGCCGGCACGGAGCTCGACACTCTCGAGGGCGACACGGTCATCAAGCGCGGCCCCAAGGGCCTGCCGGCCATCACGTTCAAAGGCGCAGCGAAACTGCCGAGCGTCGTGGCGATTCCGAACCTGTGGGTTGGTACGGACTTCACGATCCAGGGCACGAGCACGCTGCTCATCCCGCCGGCGCTGCTGACGCCCGAGGCTGACACCATCCGCGGTGCGGTCAGAGGAACTCTCCGCGGTACAGTTGGGTTCGCTTTGGATGGCGCTGGTGCTCTTTTGAGGCCGCTTGTCGCCCGCCCTTAGCTCATATTTATACTAAACGAATAGTTGGTAATTGGTCTAATTCTTCTGTTGCAATGCACGTATTCTGTTAGCAGTAGGACTCCTGATTCTAAGCTGACTTGTAAATGGTCATCATTTTATACTGAAAAATGAGGGAATCTGAGCCGCAGCGCCCTCTTCAAATGGAAAACTGATCGTGTAAGGACGAAGAGAAGCTTATGAGTATGTAATTAGCTATCAACTAGAACCCTTGTTGTGAGTTGTTGTCATAGAAGAGAGTGCATGGAATTCAATATCGAGAGTGTAAATACAATAACAGAATGAATAATGAAGCCTAGCAATAATGTAAGATCGGGATTTTCAAACACGAAAGCGAAGTGGTGTAAGATCGGGAGGCGAGGTCTTCTGAAAGTTGGGCCTGTACGTATATAGTGTGGCCCAGTAAGGAATTAGGATAACTCATTTCAGCGTGCTACTTCAACCCGCAACGACTCGTTACCATTTGCATATTTCTTCAAAGTTCTTATATTTTAAGAGAAAGCTTATGCAAAGAATGCACAAGCTAAACAGTACAGTAGTAACTGTCTTAATAAAGTTTTTGCTCATGGCTTCTAAGGTGTTTCGTTCAATTGAGGGTGACGTCAGGTTGTAGAACTTGGAGAGCAGTAAACGTCGAGAACCGCTTTTTAATGTGTTGGACCGTTTAAAACGACGCTACAAGAACTGTAATGCATGAGGAAAGTATGGCACCGATGTCTGGCAGCGCCAGCCACCGCGGCGTCGGAATTACATCCAGCATGCGACAAAATAGCAGTTGACCACCCCACACCGAGTCGCTCAACGAAACGAGCCACCGCCTTCCCCACCCGCGACAGCGGAATTCCTGCGGTGGCGGTGGCGGTGGGGTGCGAGATTCGAGAAATTCGCGAAATTTCACTGGGCTGGCGAAAGCGCGGCTTGGGGATGTGCGTCTGCTTCAAATTCGAAGAATTTGCACATTCGAGCTCACTTCATCCAGTTCACTTCAATCCTTGGCTTCGAGCCCCTTGATAGTAGCGCGATTCCCGCACAGGACTAGACGTCGATTAATCCGTCTTCCCACTTCCCCTCAGCTCCATCATCCCTTATTCTCAGTTTCTTCAAGTCCCGTCACTTAAGCTTGTCCCCTCCACTGTTTTCGAAAGCTTGAAAGTCGCACTTGCTAAAACTCAGTTCTCTGTCTCACTTTGAACAATGGCCGCGATTCATCGATTCTCCGTGTTGCTGCTACTAGCCGTAGTCGCGGTATGCCACGTCAGCCACGTGTCAGCACTCAATCCTGGAGAAGTGGGGCGAGCCATTGACTTAATCGGGAAGCGGCCGGAATACAAGGCAATCCACAAATTCGTCGACGATTATTGTAAGTTGTGCGAAGCAGCCTCACCCAACCTCACAGAACCTCTCGAACTCACTCTGTACACGAATCGGGACTCCTCCAGCTGAGCCACCCTCGTCGAAATTCGGTAAAATTCCTTGTTTCCAGGGGAAATCCGACGAATATTATACCTGACACTAAACTGCCTATTGTTAAACAACCAATGTTTCCCCCCCCCGCCCAACACCCACTGGGTGATTGGCAATCACTTCCTACCAGTGAAATCTCTCATTCCACTGACCGACCTGACCATTCTGCTGCCCGCCAATATCGCTCTGCTTCGAAACTACACCAAGGACGAGCAGACAACAATCTTATCATACAACACAATCTCGACGCGTTATCTCTTCCGCAATCTCACCGACATGCCGACCGGCACGGAGCTCGACACTCTCGAGGGAAACATGATCACGAAGCGCGGCCCCAAGGGCCTGCCGACCGTTGTATTCAAAGGCGCGGCGAAACTGCCGAGCGCGCTGGCTGTGCCGAACCTGTGGGTTGGTACGGACTTCACGATCCAGGGCACGAGCACGCTGCTCATCCCACCAGAGCTGCTGACGCCCGAGGCTGACACCATCCGCGGTGCGGTCCGAGGTACTCTCCGCGGTACAGTAGGGTTCGTTTTGGATGGCGCTGGTGCTCTTTTGAGGCCGCTTGGCGCCCGTCCCTAGGTGATACAGAACGATTACTATTTGGTTATTGGTCTAATTCAGCTACTGCAATGAAGGAATTGTGATAGCGGTAGGAATCCTGATTATAAGCTGACTTGTAAATGGTGATTATATATACAAAGGAATGAGGGGACCCTGTCCACTTGGAAGACCAATTGTGTGTGAGGTCAGCACTAAGAGTAACGTCTAGAAGCGTGAATTATGATCAACTATCAAGAAATTAATGTCATCCAAGCTATTGAGTTGGTATGCCTTGGCAATAAGGCCTTCACCCTTCATGTATTTGCTCAAATGTGACTATTTTGTAGGAAATGTGCGATGTAATACTGATTGTTTCCCTTACGAATGATGAAGGAATATGTGCACTCACGATTGATCCCTTCTCATTCGAGGAATGGTGGTCATTTTCTCCTTCAAATGCAATAGCAAACCACAGGGGATTCCTACTAGTAATAGGGTACCGTATGAGTATGAGTGTGGATTTATGGATGTAATTAGCACTTCGTCATAAAAGCCTTTACAGGCTGTTAAATGTTCAAGAATTCAATGAATGATGGTTGGTCCAAAACTTTTCTTGTCAATTACCGTCATACCCCGGATATAAGCGCCACCCGCGGATAAGCGCCTGGCGCTTTTAATTGGCGTGTGGCGCTTATATCCGCTGCTAGATTATAAGCGCACCCCCTGAAAAAAACTTGTTTTATTATAAGCGCACGTAAACTTTAAATTTCAAAATGTGTGCAAAACACTGTAACGATTTTGACTTTAGCAGGGGGATGTGTTGCAGTTTCGCTTCCCTTCACATTCGGAGCCTGCACTGGATGCGGATCCAGTCAGCAGGAGCTGTCAGGACCTGAATGTGAGTCAGATTGAGTGTATCTCCCAGCGCGCGCGAGAAAAAGCACAGACGACCCCATGTAACTTTGACTCGATTGAAAAAGCAAGCACGAGATCTACAGTTGGGTGTTAAAAACTTTAAAATATATATATGTCATTTTATAAACGCCGGCGCTTATAAATTTACTCGATTATAAGCCCACCCCCCTGAAAAAAACCTGTTTTATTAGTGCCCCCCATGGGGGTATATCCGGGGTATGACGGTAATCAATGCACTTATGCATCCAGTGTATAGAAGGTTGGTAAGTCATACACTCGTGTTTATTGCAATCGAATCTCATGTGACGGACGTGCTTTCATCCTGACAGCTAACACGTGGCGTGTCGTAACATGCTGGACAACTCATAACACATTGGCGAAACAAATCACCATCGCCCAACCATCGAACGGATTTCGCGACAGCCGACATCGCGATTCGGCTACTCAATAAGAAGCTCGCAACATGCGACCCGACTGCGCAGATTCGAATTCACTTTTCAACATTGATTTTTGTGCGCGCGTTTCCTCCCACGCCCCCCCTCCCCCCATCGTCTCAAAACATTGCAGAGCCCCTTGCCTGAATTTTGAAAGATGTTCTTGTCACGTAACATCGCACCTGGCCTGACCCAGCAGAATATGCGTGTTTGGCATTTCCGCACTTCACAGGCCCATCAAGTGTCATCATACATCCATAAGCTTCTTCCGCAGTCAGTTCGAAGACAGAAAGACCCGCACACCGTCCGGATAGCTCTTGACCCATCGCTTTCGCTGCTGCCGACAGGCCTTCTCAATAAAAGCCGACGATATTGTTGGGAAGCCGACATTTACGCTTTTATTCGACGGAAGGACACGCTGAACAAGTCGGATCCCTCCTCAGGCACTATATCTTGACTCGCGAGCGAGTAGTACACGGTGTGGCATCATCGTGGAAGTGAGCTTGAAGAGAGTAGCACAGCCTGAAGTTAGTCCATTGCAACAACGCGTACGCTGTCAGCCTGAAAGTTAGTCCATCGCCTGACGGTTGTTAGCACTTTTCTCCTCGTTTCTTCCAAACATTATTCCCTTCACGAAAACAGCACACCTCTAACTTGTCCCCCAAAGGCACGAGTACCATGCGAATCCCAATCAGGCTCGCGCTGCTGCTCTGCCTCTTAGCTCTAATCTCGTCGGCACTGCTTCCCGCAGCTCGCAGCAGTGGCACCAGCGGTAGTAGTAGCCCTGGCGGGCCTCTCCGCGGTGGCGCCGCACCTGGCGGCGCTAAGACGCCTGGAGATGCTATTATCGAGGATGAAGGTGAAGACGACGATGACGATTTAATCGAGGTTCTGCAAGAGGTCGCGAAGATGGGGAACTACAGCTACTTCGCTAACCAACTCTTGTCCTCACGTGAGTCAGCTATGAGAGCACATTGAGTGGATTAATCAACATTTATGTGTCAAAGCGTCCTTACACTACGGAGGCGCCTACAGACTGGTTCGGATATAGAATATACTTCACTAATTAACTCGTGGTCGACAGTGAGTCAGCTTATGACAGCATGGTGAGTCGGCTTGTAACAGCGCAGACGAGTCTAACATTTCAGGGAATGGTTGCTGATTCCGAGCTCTTTTTCGTCGAGGTGACATCTGCGTTTACTCATGGGTTCTCACTACCAACCTCTGTATGCTCAAAGCTTTCCTCGCTTACAAAAGGCGATGCATGCGAACGGGTGGAATCCTTGCCACGAACACTCGCCTGTGTGAAAATGCGACTCGTTTGTCGTCATTTTCAGTTGCTTCTTCATTCTTAGACTTCAAGGAGGAGTATTGTTCCCCACCTCCTTAGTGTTTCCGTCGCAACACCTCCTTCGTCATATTCCCTGCCATTGCATGTTTCCGTCGTTTCCTTCCTGTATTGGCTCTAAAATGTTCGTTTCATACGCCCTTCTCACAATTTCTTCATCTTCCCTTCCCTTCCCCTTTCCCGTTCCCTCGAATTCTATCATCACTGCCCTCCTCCCACACTCTCCCCCCCCCCCCCCCCACCTTTCCCCTGATCAGAGGCGCTTCCCACGTTCCCGAAGCCGCCCAAACCGGGCAAAGGAGGCGGCTTTCGATTGATCAAGAAAAAGCGAACCATTTTCATGCCAGTCGACACGGGAATGATTCGCGTGACGCTCCAATCTTACCCGCGGGACGTGGCGATGAAGATTTTCAGATTTCATATCGCGAAGGGGTTGTACGATTTTATGGAGCTTAAAGCGATGCCTTCCCAATCGAAGATTCCGACGTACGAAGGCGGGATGATCACGAAGGTTTCGCGAAAGAACACGAAACTTATCGTGCAGCTGAAAGGGAGGGGGTTTATTCCGACGACGATTGTATCAGGCGACATGCAGCGAGGACGTAACACCATCGTTCACGGCATCACATCCATCATGCTTCCGCCAGACTTGTAAAACGAAGCAGCTTCCGCGGTGCACGCTCATCAGACGGACGCGCGCATCCGAAAACACGCTAGGGGCAGCCGAAGGAAAATAAGGATCGTCCGAGAGGGACGTTATACAGTGTCGCTTGGACGACACATGCGACCAGGGACCTTCGCACAGGCAGGCAGGAATAAGTCGAGCTCACTGCAGCTCATCTCGCCATTAGCATAACAAGTCTTGCGTGTAATTTTGTTGTATCAAATCATTTATTTATTTTTGTAAAGAGACGAAATTTACCTGGTGGATGTGCAGCCCCCTGCTATGTGGAACTCTAGAGAGTGTACAAACTTGTCAAAACATGATTTCTCAATCCACATTAGGCTAGCCAGCCTTCATTCTGTCAGCTAGTCAAACGAACATAGCGACCGTAGAGCAAGAACCATGCATCAATTCTCCTCAATGCCTGTGGCCTTCCTCCCCTTCCTCCTTGCCCCCTTCCCGTTGCCACCCTTGCCATCCTTTCCCCCATTGCTTCCCTTGCTCCCATCACCTCCATCTTCCTCCGCTGCCAGCAGCAACCGAACAGCTTCGGAATGCCCGAACCTCCTCGCCAGGCCCGACGGCCGCTCGCCATACAGATCCGGCACGGCAGCACACGCACCTGCAGCCAGCAGTGCCTGAATGCAATCCAGGGACCCATACCTTGCTGCTATGTGCAATGCTGTTAGGCCATATGCGTTCTGCTTGTTGATAAAGGCCGGTGATGATGTGTCGCCGTGAGATTGGTGGGTGTGTACAGGGTGAGTGAGCAGAGTGTGCACCACGTGAGTGTGGTTGGACAGTGCTGCTGCCATGAGAGGTGTCCAGCCGGAGCCTGGGAGAGATAAGGGAAGGGAAGTGAGTAGGGAGAGCAGCAGTAAATGCGGATTAGGGGAGGACAAGAGCAAGGTGTGTGAGTAAGCGGTGTGTGCAGCACGTGGGTGTGGTTGGACAGTGCTGCTGCCATAAGGGGTGTCCAGCCCGAGCCTGTGAGAGAGAAGCAGAAGAGAGTAGGCAGAGCCGAGGGGAAGGAAAAGCATGAGGTGCACACTCGTGTGTATCCAAGTCACAGCAGGGTGTGCATCACGTGAGTGTGGTTGGACAACGCTACTGCCATTAGGGGTGTCCACCTAGAGCCTGGATAGGGACGTGGGGGATGGGGAGGATGGGTAGGGGTGGTTGTTGTTAGAATCTAGCAGCAGGAATGGATGAACTAGCAGCATGCAGGAGTACAAGTAGTAAACCCTAATTGGGTTGTACCCCATATGGGCTATCCCACTACAGCCTAGACAATATGCAGCATATATGTTTGACACACCCCCATAGGCAAAGTGGGGGAGAACAAGGGGTCACACGACCAGTCATGAGAAGCAGAGCAAGCTCAGGGTGGATCACAACGTCACCACACACTCTGAGCACAAGCAAAGGGCCACAAGGTCAGTTCACATGCAGAGATATATATGCAGCAATAACAATACAGTGATGACTACCTAGCAAGAGCCAGCAGCAGGTATATACATATAGATCACAGTACAAGCAAAGTCTACAGCAAGTGTGGAAACGTAGGTACAAGGCCTAACAGGGTACAAAAGCGCTGATGATCACCAGACGGAAGTGCCTTGGTGAATATATCAGCAGTGTTGGCCCGAGTGGCCACGTGGCGAAACCGAAGCTGGCCGCGCTGCTGCAACTCTTGAGCCAAGAAGTAACATAAGTAACGCAGAGCGATGTGCTTCGTTCTGTACTCCAGTCTGTGCTCCTCACACAAGGCAATGGCCGCCTTGTTGTCAACGTACAGAACTGGAGGAGAACGAGGCCGCTCACCCAAGTCAGTCAGCAGGTAGGTGAGCCAGCGTAGCTCCTGTGCAGCCATGGCGGTGGCGTAGATCTCAGCCTCACAACTGGAGCTGAGAACTGAAGACGAGCGTGTAGACCGCCAAGAAACAGAGCCAGAGCCAAGGCTGAAGGTGTAATCCTGTGACGACCGCTGTGTAGTCTGGTCGTCAACCCAAGACGCGTCTGAGTGCCCAGTGAGGACCACCTCACTCCGTCCTCCAAGCACAAGCCCCATGCCTGATGTACTGCACAGGTAGCGCAACACCCTCTTGGCAGCATCCATGTGCACCTTTCGGTGCCTGCCAGGAGCCACGTAACGAGCCAAAAGACCAAGAGGGTATGCGAGGTCAGGTCGAGTGCAAGTCATCAGGTACATGAGGCAACCAACTAGCTATGGGTAAGGACCACTCGGCTCTACGGACTCGTTCGAAGGTGGAGCTGAGAGCGAGTGACCTGTAGCCAGAGGAGTGGACTGTGCCGAGGACCAGGTGAAGTTGAAGCGCTGAAGGACCTGCTGCACCATGTGTGACTGAGTCAGGGTGATGGTGCGGCGTGCTCTGTCCCGGGTGATCTGCAAGCCAAGGTAGCTGCGCAGCTCACCCAGGTCTGTGCACGTATGTCTCTTCTGCAACTCCGGCTTCACCTGAGCGAGAGCCTCATTGTCAGCAGTGGCAAAGACCAAGTCGTCGACGTACACGAGGATGTAGAACGGCGGCAGGGAAGTGTCGGTGCGCAAAAACAGCGACGGGTCAGCAGTCGAAGGGGCGAACCCAAGAGCCGCAACTGTAGTCCTCAGTGTGTCGTGCCACTCACGGGGCGCCTGGCGGAGACCGTAGACTGGCCGCCGGAGGCTCCACTGGGTACCAGGAGGGAACGACCCAGTGAAGCCAGGTGGGCAGCGCAGCCAGATCTCCTCGTGCAGGCTACCCTGTAAGAAGGCTGTGCTGAAGTCAAGAGAGTGAAGCTCGTAGTCACGCTGAGCGGCAACGTGCAGCAGCACCCGAAGAGTGGTCATCTTCGGGGTGGGGGAGAAGGTCTGGAAGAAGTCAACTCCCTCTCGCTGACTGAAACCTCTAGCAACGTAACGAGCCTTGAAGACATGCGGAGAACCTGGCGGCCGTTTCACCCTGAAAATCCACATGCCATCGACGATGTTCGCCCCAGGAGGGGGAACCTCATCGACGTAAGTGCCTGTGGACTTCCAGGATGCCATCTCTGCGTCCATGGCTGTTTGCCACTGAGAGGAGTACTCACCCGCGATCGCCTCAGCGTAAGAGCGCGGGGTCGGGATGTCTGGTGCATCCGGGTCTCCCTCAGGGGCAAGCAGCATGGCCACGAGATGAGGCGCAGCAGCCGCAAGACACTCAAGGTCCTCCTGCCTGTCCTCAAGGACGTCCGTGCTAAGAGCACACTCACCCCCGACGGACGGAGGACAGACAGACTCAGACTCAGCAACAAGACTGGCAGCGAAGTCTAGACGACAGGCAGCAGCAAAGTCAACAAGCTCAGCGACCAGGGCAGACGCAGCAGCAGACTCAAACGACGGGTCAGTGACAACAGTGGCTAGCAGACGCGTAACAGTAGGGTGCTCAGCACGAAACCGGTCAGACTCAGGGTCCGCGACGTCAGGCAAAGAGGACGCAGGGGGAGACGGAAGAGGAGTACGCTCAGGAGGAGAGGACCAACGCAGGGCTACAAGACGTATGTCGGGGACAGCCGGCTGACGCTGACGAGGAACACGACGAACGGTACGACAAGGACGAACAGGCGAGACAGGACGCGACGCAGGCTCACGACGCTCAGCAAGACCCCCTGCCCGCTCAGTGTAAGGAGAAGGAGCAGGCAGCGGCGAGCCAGGTAGTAACCGTAGACCAGTAGAAGACGGGAGGTCAAGAACCTGGCGAAGGGCAGAGCCAGACGGTGGCTGAGACGACGGAGACGGCGGAGCGAAGAAAAGTCGAGTCGGTGCAGTGCTACCAGCACCAGCAGCTCCAGCACCTCCAGTAGCTCCAGCACCTCCAGCAGCACCAGAACCTTCAGCGCCAGCTCCTCCAGGGTCAGCCCCACCAGCAGCAGCACCCCCAGAACCGGCACCCCCAGTCCCAGGGTCTCCAGCCGCAGTGTCCCCAGCAGCAGCACCCGCAGGCTCAGCACCTCCAGCCCCAGTAGCTCCAGTACCCCCAGTACGAGCACCTCCGAGACCAGCACCACTCCCAGCTCCAGCGATGGCAGCAGAAGTACCTCCAGTAGCAGAGCCCCTAGCTTCAGAAACGCGACCCTGACGGCGACCGTACCAGTCGTGCAGCTGCTGTGAGGTGAGAGGCACACGTGGACGAAGGCGGCCACTCCAAGGAGACCGCGCAACAGCAGACTCAGAACCCTCAGCGTCAGCACCTCTAACAGCTCCAGAACCTCCAGTGCCAGCACCCTCAGCGCCAGCACCTCCAGCAGCTCCAGAACCTCCAGTGCCAGCACCCTCAGCAGCTCCAGAACCCCCAGCGTCAGTACCCTCAGCAGCTCCAGAACCTCCAGCTCCAGCGCCACCAGCACCAGAACCTCCAGCGCCCGCACCCTCAGCAGCAGCAGAGCCTCCAGGAGAAACAGCTCCAGGAGCAGAGTCACCAGCTCCAGCAGCGCGGCCCTGACGGCCAAGGTACCACTCAACCAGCTGCAGGGAGGAGAGGGGGAGTCGACGACGAGAGGGCAGCGGCGAGGCACCAGCGGAGCGACTACGGAGACGGCCGCTCCAGGGAGACTGCTCACCAGACGCCTCAGCACCCCCAGGTGCAGCACCCCCAGACCGCGTCAGTACCGCCAAGCTCAGCACCCCCAGACCCCTCACACTCAGGCTCAGCACCTCCAGGCTCCACACCCTCAAGCTCCGCACCCCCAGGCTCAGTACCCTCAGGCTCAGCACCTCCAGGCTCCGCACCCCCAGGCTCAGCACCCCCAGGCTCCGCATCCCAGGCTCAGCACCCCCAGAAGTAGCACCCCGAGCAGGACCACCCTCAGCAGGACCTGAGTCACCAGTGACCTCAACCGGCGCAGTCAAGGGAGGAGGGTCTACCTGAGACACACCTGAAGGAGCAGGACCGGGAGCGGGGAGGGGGTCTACCTGGGGAGCACCTGGAGCGAGGAAGAGCGGCGGGGGGGGG